CATGTATAAGCGGCCATTGTTGATCCATTTGCAACTCGTCATTTACATCAAATGAAGACATTTTGCATTGTAATCATGTTATTCAGTTACTCTAGTCCGCTGATTCAGAGATGAGATTCAAGTGCGATTAGAAGATGTCAAGAAAAGTAAAATTAAGCTATATACAATCTCTTGTACATAAAACTACTATGACAAAGCAAAATTATTTTGCTTTAGATTAAACACATGACCTCTTCGTGTGAATCATCCGTTTCAATTTTTTTCTTCAATATGTTTGTTATTTAGTTCTATGAAATAACAATTCATAAATTTGCAAAGAAAATGGAATGTTTTGTATCATTTACTTCTCCATCACATCGTTAACTTCTGAACATAATATCTCAAATATTTTAAAACATTTTTTTCATTAAACTGATGGATCTTTTTCATCACAAATTGCAACTAGCTTGTTGTGAGAGATAAAAGCTTGAACAATCTCTACTAACTTAGGATCAAGTTTTACTCTGATCGTTTCATCTCTCTTGTTTCATTAATTCTCAATCATTGTAGCAAAATAAAGAACCAATCTCTCCAAAAAATCATTCAACTTCACATTTGAATGATTCATTAATGTTTTTAATTTATATGAATCCATATTTTTATGAGTAATCTGAACTTATAAGCAATCAAACTTGCCATCACCTGAAGCATTTTTGAGAAAGATTATAATCACTTTCTACTTGTCACACACAAAATATACAACACCTACTACAGTGGTTAAAGTTGATCAAATCCAGATCATTTGAATATAATCAAGCGTTACCATGAAACCAACATCACATACACACAAGAAATCAATATGAAGGAAATAACTCTAGATACAATCAAGAAATTGAACCGATACAATCAACTGATTATTCATTGATTCAAATCAAACCTGATTATAGTATATAGATTAAATTTAAATCACAACACAAGCTTGCATTTAGTAGCTAAGATACAAACTTAATGCACTCGTCATCTTCTATTACAACTAAATCTGCTAAAACTGATAACAAGATACAAATTGAACTTATTCCATTTTAAAGATTTCATCAGTTATGTTGCATTGATATGGTTTTACTCTTATAAAATCCAATTGACTTGCTTTAGATCAACTTTGATATGGCTTCACTTTTATAATAGCCAAGTGATTTGCTATAGATAAACTTTCAAGCATTTTTGAGTGAGTTGTTGCAATCCAAGCTTCATTTGTTATTCACTATTCAACTGAAATTTGAGAAATCTACTATTGTTCAAAATTTGTGAACATTTGATTATAATCTTTGTTTTTTTTTTTCAAACAGATCTCACATAGTTCACATTGTTAGATCTTTAACAACCATTTTCTTTTTTTCATTGACTATACCATAGTATGTTATGAAATTATACCATAGTATGTTATGAAATTTCAAATGTATAAATCTTATTAAAAATCTACAGCCATATCTTCAATGAATGCAAAATTTCACAAGGATTTAAAGTTTCATTCAAACCTAAATTTCAATAACATTCAATTTAGAAAATAAGTTTTCTGCAAAAATTACAGCTACTGCATTAAGATTGTGGTATTTAAAAAACTCGCAATTTTACTTGTGAACAGTAAGTTTTAGCCATCATCACTTTTTGTGTTCGTTAGCTGTTATCACTATCAAACTATCTCAATTGGTTCCATTATATAATTTAAAATAATAATAATTAGTAAACTCTCTAATGATGTCATCGCATCTTTTAGTACCTCATAATTTCTTTCAAATCATTCAAACACACATCTAGATGCTAATTTGATTCCTGAATTATGATATTTTATAAATTGATACTTATTTTATTCAAACATTTCATAATTTTTCTAACAATATCAGTAAAATAATCGTTTTTTTTCAAACGTAGAATTTATAAAAGTAGAACATGAATTTTTGCGCTGAATTCAAGTTTCTCTTCACATCTATCAATTTCATTAGTTTAAAATTTACAAAATCAATCATTTGAAATACAATCAGCTATGTGAAAAAAATATGGCTAAATTTTTCAGCAAATTTTTTTATTATAGAAATTATGTTACAAAAAGATGAATTCTATACATTATCAAAGATATTTCAAAAAATTGTGCACTAATTAAATTCTGCAAAACAAAGTTATATGCATAAAAATATTTTAAGCAATTTTGCATGTATAGAGGAAAAAGTCTATTTTCATTACTTTTTTGGCTAGATTCATATTTTTTTTCTTGCCGGACGGCAGGATCCATCCAGAAACAGGACGAGTACCATCAGAAACAAGTCTCACTTCCAATACGTGAAAGTACACCAATGTAAAGTCTGTGGTCAATCAGGGCACAACTCAAGAACCTGCCCGCAAATGTAAGTGAGTTGATAAAAAGACTCACTCAAATTTATTCTGTTTAAGATTGTAGCGGAAAATAAAGGTGTCATTCTAGCCAAAAAAGGTGTGATATAATTATTCGATATATATGTATTTATTATTATTAATTATCATATTAATATATATATATATATATTATTAATCATTATATTAATTATTGTATTATTATTTGAAAAACATATTTTACGTTAAAAATTTTAATTTTTTGCAGTATTCTATTAAATTCAAAATTTTGATAAATTGTTACACAATGAATACAATATATATATATATATATATATATATATATTCTAAAATTGTGTTTAACATTTAACTTATTTTCAATATCATATATAATAGGAAAATACAGTTTTTTATAGAAAATAAATGTAGAAGATTGAAAAATCAAGATTGTATTTTAGTGTAAATAAAATTTCTATATTTCAAGTATTAATCTAATATGAATGAATCATTCAGAATGATGCATCAAATTACTTGTGAAAAATAATAGTATTATTTATTTTAAAAAAATCACCTAAGTTAAAATTTAAATTTAATATCTAGATATTTTTTTTAATTGATGAATATTCAAAATTTTAAATTTAATATTAATATTGATCAAAATCAATTATTGGGTGAAATTTATGTGTATACCAGATTCGAACATTTTACTTCAAATTTGTACCCAAAAAAAAACATAATTATCAGCAGGGAACATGACCATCGATGCCATTCAAATTGCACCCATATATGTTTCCTTGTAGTGTACCTCGGATGTGGAAAGCATGTAAACAAGATGGCAGAGGTTGGTTTCATCTACTATGTAATTGGCACTTGTTATGCCAGTGTCATGTTAATACAATGGTATTGACATGTCGACATATTGACAATGTGTATTTAGTGTCGAGGTCTCAAGCAATATTGATCGGAATATTTCCTAACCTTTTGGAAGCTATGTCCACCCATGATCAATAATGTCACCCAAAACCCATGGGATTTGGCACCCAATGTTGGGCTCTTTTGTCTCTGCTTTTCGTTAGAGAAGAGATACTTTTGTTCTTTAAAACCTTCACACACTGACTTCGAAACCTGAAATCAAGCCTAGCACTAGGTTATACCGAATATACTGGATCTCTCTTAAACTAATCCAACAACAAGCCCTGGGTATTGAGGACAATTACACTTTTCAGCTCTCCGATATTCACTGTAGTTTCCACTTGCATCGGAGTCGGATGTGTTTCACTACCTTACATTGTCCAAAACACTACATGCAGAGGTTCAGACTGAGGTTCAAGAGGAGGATATCCTTCGTAAATAATCTACTCAATAGCAAGCTCAGTTTACCACTTCGTCAATCCACTCTATCGATGTATTCCCAGTCCTTCCGACAGATATTCCCATAACGGCAACAGAACGGTCCCGCCGAATGCTCTCGCGATCTAATGCCACACAGCATCAAAGTGGCATTGGCACGACTGACTCTTTTCTCGCCATCACATTCCGTAGGCCGACAACCGAAATAATAGAGCATCAACATTTCCAATTTGAAGAACATTTTACAATAGAAACAGAGAAAAGAAGCCATGTATAAACGACAAATTGGGAGCTTGCATTATGTAGTAAGTCAGATATTCACGGTAAACTAGATCGTCACATCTCGTTCCATGGGATCGGAGTTCATAACCATAGCACATTATCAGAGACCACCGAGGCAAGATCCGTTGGATATATGACAAAGGAGTCCTCCGAAATTGGAGAGAAAGGGGCTTGCGAATTGGTCATCCTAATTGAAGAGTCAAACCTCTTGGTTTAGAGCGGGACGTCAATACTGTATGACGAAGGCTGGCGGCTATGGAAAGAGGAGCGTGGGTGCTCGCGTCTGTTTCTAGGTCGGGGTCCCGGCTGCCGTCTATTGGAGCCCTACCTTTCCGAGACCCGTGCTACCACTGGCGCGGCATTGGCGGTTTGCCTGACGTCTGTTGGTGGTGCCTGGCGCTCAGTGATTGCAGTCAGTCAGGGGCGCCTTGATGAGAGGCTGCGATAAGCCCGCCGGTCTCTGATTTTCGTGCCAATGTGGTGGTCTAGTCTCTGTCGCTCCTTCGCTGCTGCTGCTGCAGCTCCGAGACGATCGGTAGAGCGCAGGGGCGCTAGAATCTGGAATCTGAAAAGGGAAGATGCGCCCGATATCTTCCCTTTGTTTTTTCCCCGGTTCATAGGATGTACTTGATTGGACTCGCCTCCGCCATTCTTGCTCGTCCTTTGTCCTCCCTTCGAGAGAGAACAGAATATCGACGACCGATATTCTTCAGAGGTGGGTAAGCAGAAAGTGCGCCACCCAACCACACATCACCTTCGTGAAGCTGATTTGCAAGTTCGGTGAAAACAGTCAACCCAGCGCACTACTCGGTGTGATGCAGTAGACACATTGACCTGGTCACATCATTCAGACCGAGAAAACAGCAATACCTCGAGACAGAGAGAGATACGATTTGCGCACTTCAGTTGAAGATATTCTGAAGAGAAGAAGGAGAGTATGTCTGTGCACACGTTCGAAATATGTGTTCAGGAGAAGCAAGAGAAAGAGGAGAATATGTCTGGACACACGTTCGATATGTGTGTTCAGGAGGAGGAGGAGGAGGAGGTCAACATGACGAAACACGGGAGATGAATGAGAGCAGTTGAGACAGTAAAGATGCACTGTACCAATAAAAACTGTTATAAAAGGAACAATATCGGTCCATCGATTAAATTGGCACAGTCGGACAAGTTTTCAGCTCTCCTTTTTTGTTGCTCGGTATGTGAGAACGTTTCTATTGCCTAGAGAAAAAACGAGCTGTCGATTAGGTCGAATCAGCGCTTGTCGAAATAGCACAGATCAATCGATATTAGCAACCTCACTGTGTGCCTCCAACTCTGAACAAAAACGTTTTTATTTGCTGAGAAAACAATGGAATCTATCAATTAGGTCACCTGGGCACATTTTGGACAATTCTTGCTCCTGCAGTCGTGAACCTACTCTCATGTACCTACTTCTCGTCGGAGAGCTGTTATGGCCTTTCAATACTGGTTACAACTTTCACCGACGTTGAACCGGCGAAGAGACTCTATAATATAAAAACCCTAGTTGGGCGTGTCATGGCTGATGATGCCAACAACGGAATGTGCAATGATGCACATGAATCTGGATTCAAACTGCCGCATGACTGGCTCGTCGAACGATTTACAGTCCAATGTTCTTCTCGAACTTTTGGATCTGGTTCAGGAAAAGCCAGGTCATCATGACATGGGGCGCAATCCTGACACAGTATGTGCCGAACCCGGAGTAGAATTTCATCGGGCCGTGGCTCTTCAAAGTTTGCATGGCGCAGTCGATTGATCCGGTGTATGGGTACTTCCCGTCGGGCCCAGGCTGCATCTTCTGAATTTGTGTCTTCACGAAATCGAAGGGCAAACTGCAAGCAGAAGCGAAGAAACCAGACACGGCACTAGCACCAAGCACACTTTGAATGTCGCCGAATCCCATCTCCTTCAACATTTCCGCGGTTTGATCGTAGGAAGCCAACATTCCCATGTTCAAGGCCATAGCTCTCGTCACGGTAGGACCAGCACCCTTCCACAAAGCCAACACTCCTTCGTCCGCACTGATCCGGTACAATGCGTGGAAGGCGTTCTGGTAGTTCCTTCGTTGAGCTAGAGGCAGAGTGGCATCGGCTTGCATCCTAATCAGAGCCAGATCTGCGGGACTTCCAACGCAAGCTCCAATGGCTCCGGCCGTCAATCCACACAGAGCCTTCTGGTACAAAGGAAGCGGCTTTCCATCGTTGGCAGCGATAGCCTTTCCGGTCAACACGCGGAAAGTTCCAAGCCTAGCGGTGGTGTAAGTCGCTTGTCTAAGAAGTCCAGCCGAAAGACCCTGCTCATGGAAACAAGAGGTAAAAAGCGCTCGTTAGCTCGAGGCAAACATCGAATTGTGAGAATGACTCCCAAACACCAATTACGGCTCCGAAATTCATCGACTTCCTTCACAAATACCTCAATGACTCGATCCAACTGTGTAAATACTACACATCTCCGTGCTTCCGACTAGGCCCTAAGGTTGAAACGAGAAAAAAGCCTTGAATCTGAGAAGTGAAGGGCAGCCTCGGGGAAGAATCGTCCACAAAACGTCCGTGCGGTCTGTGCTCCTCGGAAGCCATGAATCCACGTTCACTAGGGCGCGGGGGGCGATTGCAACAACTGACTAAGGGCAAAACGCGGTGCCAAAAGAGTCGGTCGGGCTAATCGAGATCTGCGATTCTAGTGCCGCGTGCTCCAGAGATCGGAGAGATCATCCAACCTATTTCCCTTCCCAGACGGAGAAAGATCAACCAACCTTGTAGAAAGCAGCGACACCGTCGTTTTTCAACATGTTCCTCGTGACCTCGGTCGCGGTTCCCTGTCCGAGCTGGATGCGCACTTTAATCATGTCCACGGGCTGGATGACGCAGGTCGCCCCCATACCGGCGAGCCCTCCATTCATGAAAGGCTTCACGGTGGTCCATACGGCGCCCGGCTTCTTTTGCTCCTGAGCAGCTGCGACAGCGGCCATTGTGATCCCTCTGTCGGGCTCCTCCTTCACTCACTCACTCACCCACCCACCACCAGATCTCTCGCTCTCCCCGCAAGACGAGAGCAGAGAGCGAATCCGGAGGCCGAACAAAATGCGCCCCGTGCTGTCAGAACACAATCAATCGATCGAGCGAGCGTCGAAATCAGGGACCGATCTGCCTTCGAGCCTCCTCTCTCTCCTCTCCTCTCGTGCCGCTCCCTCTGCGCCTCGCCGAGCAGATCCCAACAAATGGACCCGGTCTCGCACGCCGGAGCCGACGAAGGACGGACAGGCGGGCGGGCGCGCGAGCGGACAGACAGACGGACAGGACGACGACCTCGAGAAGACAAAGAGACAGGGCGAGCAGCAAGCACGGACTTCTTATATGACCGAGCTCGTCTCTCCCGTTTGCCTGCGAAGGGAAGGCCAGGAAGGAACGAAAGGGACGGTGGGGAGACCGAGACCGAACTCGAGAACGAGCGCGAGAGAGAGAGAGAGAGAGAGAGGGAGGAGGGAGCGAGCGAGCGAGTTTAGAAGAGGCTCGGCAAGCGTTCGTGTGTGGAGCAGGGAGCCGTGCTGTGTCGTCGCTCGCGCAGGCCAGTTCACCTCCCCCCCTCGAAAGGACACCGACAGCAGCAATGATAAGCTGTAATTCGCCTGTAAATTAATTTCTCTCCTTGTTTTGCCCCCATCGAATACCAGCCATCCGTCCTTCCGGTCTAGGTCCTCCTGCCCTGTACTATGGGTCGCCTAGCCTCGACTTCCCAGGTCCCTTAAATTTTCCTCCTCCTTTATTTTATTTGCCTTTAGAGGTGAATCGTCAATTAAACCCACGTGTGAAATATGATAAATAGGGTTTTAGTTTCTTTTTTTCCAAACCCTGTCATCAAGGGCATTTGGTCTAGTGGTATGATTCTTGCTTAGGGTGCAAGAGGTCCCGAGTTCAATTCTCGGAATGCCCCTTTTGATCCTCTCGGCGTTTGTTCTTCCTTCAAGCAGTCGTGCCTGAACTGGCAAGTTCTCGGTGTCGATTATTTCCCACGCTAACTGACAGCTGTCCTGTCTTTTCCACGGACTCAAGAAGGCCTTTCCCGGTGTCGTGATTATGTAAAGTCTGCTCGGACAACCGGAATGTACGCAAGAGTGTACGACGGACTTCCTACACCGGTCAGCACTCTGTCAGCGTAACTCTCTCCGTCCGGGAGGATTGTAAACTTTCACTTCCTCCAGACTTAGGCTTCCAAATAGAACGGGACTTGCCATTACGGTTCATGCGACTTAACTTTCGAGTCGTTCTTAGTCTCAAGTCCACTTCTGGGAGTTGGCATGGCTTTTCAAGAAGGGGAGAATCAGGCCCGGTGCGCCTGCCCTCAACTCGGGCCGGTCCGGGTGGTCAACAGACAACCTCAGCCCAGATTCCTCTGGGACAGAATCTTCATACCATCATACCATCGTACCCCTGGAGCCCTGCTTTCGTGAAAGCCGGGCTTCTGTGAGGCTCCAGCTTCATCGAAACTCCATAGACTGAATCTAGCCACGGCAGCAGATCCAAATTATTCTACTGCAGCTGTGACCTAATTTTGGATGCTGTAAGCTCGGAGCCAAGAATTTTTGTGGCCCGGGTCTTCAAACTTTGCATCCCCGTGGGGGCTCCCCTTCACGGGACGACGACACGAGCAATAAGGAGGGCAACGTGTCCCCGACATGAGCAACAGGGCGGGCCTAGAGAACGTTCCAAGCTGTTTGTGTCGCTCCTCTATTGGCCTTTGGGTCGTCCCGAAAGAGCCAATTCTGCTACAGGGTCTCGAGGAGGAGAAACCTTTCCCCCTCTGTAGGTTGAACCTGAATCAACACCACACCACCAGAACTGTTCTTTCACAAAGACCGGGGACAATAGTCGTGGTCGATTTGTTGTTGTTGTGTCGATTAGGGTTCGACGGAAGGAGCTTCAGGTGTTAGTTAAGGCAGAGCTTAAGCTCGAAGATAAGTAATAGCTCTCCTTCTTTCGAAAGAGTTGAGAAGGAGCTTTGTCCTCAGGTTTCAGGGCAGATTCCTACAAACTACAGTTGGTATCAGATCATATATAGTCGGAGGATGATAGCAGAACTTATCCTTTCTATTGTGATTGACTACATGGTTTCTGCAGATGTAAATTCTCGATGCCCCTTCATTTTACTCTCCTATGGTTGTTTGCATAAGCAAAGCCGACCACAGCTTCCAGCAGTCATCTAGATCTAACAAAATACCGGCGCTCGTTTCATTGTAGGAGATATTTTGCTTCCTGACTAGATTCGTCTTCAATTGTGCCAGTTCTACCGATCTGAATCACATCCACCGGTCAGAGGACAGTCCAACTTGGCCTCTACTCTCGAGCTTCGTTGGTCTCCGTTTAGTCCTGGAAGAGACCAAAGACCGAAGACCTGGTTTTTGGTGGTCCATGAAAGACCAACTTACCTTCCTCCGTGCATCGAGACCATGCGGCTATATGCCCCCTAATTGTGGCGGTGCCAAAGGTCGCTAGCCAACTACGACGCCATGCCTTCAGGTCGCTACAGTCGGCAACGTTTAGAACGTTGGCAGTTGTGGATGAATCAGAGTTCAGGAAAATCGAGCCACTTTCACGAGGCTTCAGGACTCTCTGAGGCTTCCTGTTCTCTCCTAGCTTCTCTTCCTTGACGGTGCAGAATTACTTTCTGTTCAATTTTGGGAAAGACCTTCGATGACGACAAATGAGGTCGGGAACCACATCATCTGTTCCATGTTGATCTGCCGATCCTCCGAAGATGTGGGCCGATGCTTTCCAGCAGCAGGCAGACGGGTCGAGGATCACTTTCAGTGAGATACCAGCCCAGAGAATGCTAAGCGGTCGTGAAGCTTGTACTAGCCTCACGATTCAGAAATGGTCTTTGGCGTTGTTATGTTGAACCGATTCATCATAATCATCTCTAGATGGAAGGTTCAGTCGTGTCGATTGCGAGACTCATGGATACAGGACTGCATAAATGGAATGTGACCCTGGCCCGCCACCATCCGAAGATTGATACTGGAGGTGAGGACATGACCTGCCTTCCTAGCGTTGGGTCATGGTAACAAGGGGAGTCCAATAGTCGGAGTATGTGGATAGCAGAAACAAGGCACAGAGAGCCCTGAAATCCGAACAACATAGTCCAGTGACCTAGAACGTCCGGCCGAAAAAGGCCACTCATTCATTCATGGGCATGTGAAAGACGGACGATAAAGAATTGATCGGACAATATCGATCTCGAAAACAAGGTGTGTTCGTTGCATCCGATGCGACGAATCATGCGTGTCATAGCCTTATCAAGCTGAGCGAGTTGTAGCTAGACGGCTCGTTACAGACCAGGAGAGCAGGCCGAGCTAGGAACATGGAACCTGAACATCCAAAGTGTCTGGACTCCAGACTTATTGATTTGATCCAACTTGCTTCGAGGTGCAATCTCATTCACTTGTATATAACGAAGGACAATCTCTAGAACTAATTCCATCTGAACTCTGAAGTACATGGGAATTCTTTGTCGGGCGAGAGTCATTTACTTCTCTTGAAAATAATAACAGGAAACACTTTTGGTTGTTCTCCTTTTCACGGTCGGATAACAATGCACTTTTGCAGCACCAATTGCCTCTGAGCAACAATGGGTGGACTTCGTGTGTCATAGATTCATAATCCACATCAACCAGGACAAGGAGAGGGATTTTTCAGAGGTAAGAATAGTCCAGACTAGGACTCTAAGATGAGAGAGAATGATGACCCTCCATTTTGCAAATATAGGTCCTCGTTGCAAAGGGCAATGCCAGAATTTAGTGCAAATTGTGCGATTTCAAATCAAAAGGTGTGAAGGTCTTCACTTTAAAAAAGGTGCAGAACATCATGGCCCGGTGAGATTTGGAGTAGTCATTCCTCTGGAGACTTAGTGTACATGTAAATTCTGTGAATATATTGTTCCACAGGACCTGGTAGCTTACGTATTTCCCCCATCATCTTGTCATAGAATTCTTGATTGAGTGTCCTCTTACGCTTGCTTTGCTGGCATGTATGTGTAATGTCATGTCTTCAACTCCGACCCCGAGTATCTGAATCTTGCGGCTAAAACGCATATAATCTACAAAGCAGGGACAAATGAACATCTCCGATGTATGTTGTTGAGAGCCACATACGTCACTGCAAGAGTCACAAATAGCACTACAGTTCTTCTGGTGGTACATCTTCTATGCACTAACCTTGCAGCCGGGTACACCACATCTCTCACTCAACCTTTCTTTCACCCTTAACTAGTCATGACGCGAATCAACGTCAGATCATCCTCCCAGGGCTCGAGTTAAGTGTCACTCATCCTGTCAAGCGAAGTGAAAGAATCCCCTACAAATTCCTAATTTTCCCAATCTGATCTTCAACCCTGCGGTGAGTACAGAGATTGTGCCTGTACGCGAAGATCTGCATCTTCAGTAAAAGGTATAGGCTTCTCTGATACGTTACCCCGCCCTGTAGAAAACTCAACTTACTGTCATGGCGCTGCGCCCTAGACAAGGGCTTCTACCCGATCTGAACATCCAGCAATGAGACAAATGTCCACGGATCGATCGCTCTGCTCTCTCTGCTTACACGGGACTCGAACGAAACGGACGAAACTGTTTCGTTATTTTCAAATCATCTGCAGGAGCAAAACAGGTTCACAGTCCGCTCTATACCGAAGTATAGGGCTGGCCGTGGTCCCGACTCACAAGTTTTGTAGGTCAGTGCACGAAACCGATGAATCATACCTTTCCTCGTCTGTCACGGCTCTGGAGTCAAACATGTCTACATAGGGATTGCCCTCTCAGGCTGTATCTCGGTGAAGGGTTGGACTTAGTCTCATGAGCCTGTTCTAGTGTGCACATGTTGCAACAACCTCATTCATGTCCCGTGGGGTCAAGACTAAGCAGTGGAAACACGGGCAGAGGTGAAGCCATGATTGTTCAGCGTTGTGGTAAAGGGTGCGGTAGTGCTTAGAAGAGTGTATGGAGGTTTGGTTTTGATGTCAGTTTGATCACGTACTAGACCTGGACTGAACCGATAGAAGCTGATTTCGACAGGCCTGTAAGATTATGCGGAGAAGAAATGAAAGTTAGAAGTTAGAAGTCTGGCGGAGGAAAAGATGAAAGCATTCCGCGGTTTCGAGCTTTCAGCGATCAAATTTATTTACAGCGTTGACCTTGAATAGGTATGCGTTTTATACATGGACAAGCAAATACTAAGTGCTTGTCGAGCGAACTGCACATCCTCTTGGATGCAGGAACCTTAAGACGGTTCTTTGCAGACCAAGAGAGCAGGCCGAGCTAGGAACTTATCCCCTTATGCAACCAAGGATTTATGATCTGAGGTTCCTGCATCCAAGAGAGCGTGCTACGAGCAGAGAAGAGGTAACAGATATATGGAGGCTCCAGAAATGATCTGCATATATATAAATGCTGAATGAACTGGAAAAGAAGATCGACAAAATTTTGTTTCAGAGACTACATTTCTCACATGAATATTCGTGCGACTAGGAGTTGATTACAGCGCAATTCTTTCTGATTTCTCCGACCGTTCCTGTCTTTACTTGAACATTGCCCAGCTTCACCATAGACACTCCAAAGTCCGCAGCGAAGGAAATGTTTGCTAGCATGGTGTTGATGATCTGCAGGCCTTGTGCGTTGTTGATCAGTTCACTATCAGAACCAAGAACTCCTTTCAAGGCCAAAATATTGTTGTAGAATATACTGTCGAAAGTTTGACCTGTAGAATCCAGCGAAACAAATTGCCTGGTGCCTGCGTTTGATGGGCACACGCCCTTGAGGAAATCGACGAATGTCGCATTTATAGAGGGATCAGTAGTGTTGAACACGCCCGTAAAATTCCACAGCCGTTGAGTGACATGTAAGCAACGTGTTCTGCCTATTGTATGCGCACCTGCAGGAACAGAAAGTGCACATCGGATTTCAGCATCACACCTTTGAACTATCTTGCCTCGTAAAAAGAAATTTCAAAGAGAAATCAAATTTAAGCGACCTTCAAATTCTTTGTATTTAAGATATTACAACTGGACTTATTAGCAACCAAACACGCCTAAGAGATTGCTGAAACTCCATATTTGAACTGATTTGGCTCCTGCCGACTATGTCAAAGGTTGAGTGTGAGCTTCTATGCGCTTCCTCAGATCCATCTCAATTGTTAAACTTACAGCTCAGTAGTTAAAGCGTGGACAACGATCAGAAACGGTACCTGAGAGAACAACCATGTCCTTCGTGTCAAGGCCAAAGGTAGCAAAGTTTTGGACAAGTTGTGCAAAGTTAAACGAAGGAGGTGGAAGGTTGGTGACGGCCTCCGACGCGATAGACACAGTTCCGTCTCTCCTGCCCGTAGGCACTGGCCAGGACACGTTTCCAACCTGTCAGCAGAAACAAAAGTTAGAGTCAGTTCTTCTTTAGCAGTACTCCTTTCTGAACACAATCTCTGTTGCTCATGATGAAGCTCCATCTTTTGCATTGCATTGTCTTTAGCCACTTGAGATTCTTCTCATCCGTACTCTATTTTCAAGTCTATGATTCCTCTTCTGGTGGAACGGTGGAACAAATTGAACTGGTAGGTCTTCATAACACCGAGAATAATAGCACTCCCGTAATTGTGTCGGCATAAACTCTGAAAAATACACTTCTGGATACATCAACTGTAGAGAACTCATATTCTCCTTAATCATGAATACATGCAGTTGAAAGCGTAGTTCAAGTTAGAATGGACTTGTGATGACCTTGCTAGTCGCATCTTCTGCTGCTAGTGCCAAGATATCAGCGCATGAAACGACACCCGGGCATGCAGCCTCAACGTCCGATTTGATGGTGTCGATCTCCGCAAATCCTATCAGAGAGTTCGCATTTGGCGTTGAGTCTTTCTCTGCTACATTTCCATTCGTTGAATTGAGGAGCACGGACCCATCACATCCCTGCATGAAACAACAAACACTTGTTTTCAAAGACGTGTATCTGCAAGGAGTGAAGACATGTTTGTCTACTACGAAGTTTTCAGATTCAGATTCACGTGCTGTATTCTGAGTAAAGGGCCTATCAATTCCAGTGATCCTTATATCTAGTCTTAAAGACCGCGAATGTAGTTTTTCAAATGTGCAAATCTTTGGCCTGATGGAAAAAAAACAGCCTTGAATCCTTGGCCTGAAGTCCAATGATCGCAGCACGTAGGAGCCAGCGAGCTAGCTACTTCACCTGTCATATTTCCCGAAGCATGTCAACTCGTAACCGCAAAAGAAGTAAAAAGTGAACAAAATCGCTCAGGCTTGCCTTACATGTAGAGACCATCCCTGTTATGAATATTTATGTCTGTCCCTAGTTGTGGATTTCTTGGTGCCCAGGATTCTACGGTTAAAGTTTATCCAAAGTCAATGGCTTGTTCAGGAAGCCCTTGAAAACAATGTTGAACATACCCGGACCCAGCAATCGTGAAAGTGCAGGCGCAGAAGTCCGGCAGCTAAACCCACGTCCGCAGCAAGAAGTATGTTAAGCCTGCTGCTGATTATGGAGGTCAGGTTTGGGCATGTGGCGTTGTAGAAACCAGTGACCAACTGACCGGAGCAATCTCGTACGAAGAAGAAGACTAAGGTTGTGAACACTACCCATCTGATACTGGCTGAAGCCATTTTGGTCGATTTTCTTTCGTTCTAATCTGGATTATTGGGAACACGATCCAAGCGTGAGGTTCGATCGTCGTAAACGATCGGTACCTTCCTGCACACATAGTAATCGGATTTGCAAGATCAAACTGTCAGAAGTTTTCTGAAACCAATCAAACATCTCTATCGAATCATTAAATTCCCAGTTGCTGTAACTCTCAAAGGACTGTCAGCTAACGAGTTAACTATACTATGATTAAACTGTAAATCTCAGTTGAAGCTAATTTTACTTTCCAATTTTGGATTTCATTAGCACTATCCAGGCTTGATGAAACTCTGAGACTCCTGATCTGTGATGATTTCTTCGAAATCGCTAACTGAAAATGTGGAGATAGACCTGACTCTATTGAATTTACAGAATTTTTCAAACTGATGCATACGACCCCTAGCAAATGAACACTCACGCAAAGAAATGAGTGAACCCTGCAGTGAGACGAGCTTGGCCAAGTTGCTAGCTTGTACTAAACTAAGTCGATCAGGAGTACCTTTATACTTCGTGAACTCCACTGGTGGCCGCCATTTCCTTGTCCCGAAAGACATGTTCACTCCGAAGATCGGAAGTACTCGGCAAACGCAGGAAACCCCTCGGTGCTGAAAATGAGCAGTGTCACTGGCATGCACGAAGAATGAAGGCCGGAGGAGATTCTGCTGCATAGTTCCACTGACACCAATAGCCTTACAGACCTGAACAAACTGAAGAGGCCATCTGAGGGAAGTCCTTGGATACAGGAATTTCACATACACCTCCAGGTTGTTGTGCAGGAACAATGTGTCTAAATTAGGATGTAGGATGAACAGTCGAATGATGGCACTGCAGTCTATAGAACCGCCATCCATATGGAGTGTCGAGAAACCACGGGAGTATCTGTGATTAGAATAATCGTGTCTGTCGACACGTATTTGAATGCTGGCTGGAACTGAATATTAACACTTCCAAAGACCACTAAACGGGAGCAAAGGGCAACATGAGCTCGTTGATGAGGGCTGTCATTGTTGCTTCCCACATCAACAAGTCTCCACTTGTCCCGTATGCTGATCAGAACCTGGGATTGTGCAACATCACGGTATTACGTGCTGGGTGTACGTGTATGGTCGGAGTCGATCTGCGCTGATCCTCAGCATGAGCCAAAGCAAGGTCACCCGAGGCAACCAGCAAACAAATCTTGGAAAGCGACTGCCAGGAGTTCGACCCAACTTGTGGGCGGATATTTGCCGCAATGGGTGATGTGATGTACAGATGTTGTGTCGCCATTGGAAAGCAGTTATTGATGAAAATTTGGCCCTGACATACATCTCTGTGCTGCGCAAGCATTTAGCAGTCACTCTTCGCAGAATGGGATGCATGTTGGAAGTGGATCCAAATTTTGCGGGTTTTGAAGGACAATGCGATCTGAACTTTGTGTGGAAGGGAATCAGCAATATGTTTCACGTCCAAAATACACCTCGGCTAGTACCTAACGTATGACACAGTAGTATAATTGAAAGCATACAGCAGGTAGACACTTAGTGGAAACACGCTATTATCAAAACACTCCTTCTGGCCAATAAATATAGCAAATTACAACAATACATTGATAGTAGTAAAGCAACAAAGATCCCATAACGTGAAATCAAAGCTATACATGTTACCCCTTGATCCATCAAAGGGGTAACATGTATGGGGCTACTTCCAACATAATATCTATTAGAAATATATGTAATTCAACTCAAATGTCAAACTAGCTCATTCAAATAGTTTACAAATAACATAACAGGAAGAAAAATGATTGTGATTTTCGTTTTCTCTCTGTAGAATATCTAGTGATATTATATCAAATTAAAAACACACTGCTTGTGTTCTTATTTTGGGAAATACAGACTATGTTACATATTGTATTCAAGAAAATGTAAACGATATTATTTAAGGTAATAGTATGTTGATTATTATTTCATATGAACATGTACAAGTCAGTGTTCATGGTATCGTATAATTTCAAAGTTGATAAATATTTGATACCTCTTAACTCAAAGATCTATGGCTTATTTTTAGAGTGCTCATACCCTCCAAATATGCATTAAGAGTACTATGCATCACCATGTTAGCAAGATGACCGATTACTTCCCAACTAAAGTATAAATTTCACTTAAACTAGGTTTCTGGAGGACATACCTTTAATGGAAGACATTCAGCACTTTCACTTATGAAGTAATCAAGTTCATACATATATAGATGAACATGTTCCCAATGTGTGTATCACATGTTATGAGGAAATACACACAACTTGACATGGTAAAAGAAGTACATACATAATTTAGATCCATCTAGATCATACATTTGTGAAAAATTAATAATAGACTCCATGAAATTGACTAAGTATATTTGGAAATCCTGCTTATAGATTACATAATGTTTGAAACCAGATATGGCATGGAACAGCATTAGGTTTCATAGATATCCACTAATGTGTAAAAGCTAATTATATGATGTGTGGAAAAGCTACAATATATGTTTTATTGAAGATTATAAGTGTTTCAATTTTCTTAATGCTTATTTTTCATTTAAAACATGAAATTTAGAAAATGACAAAACAATTTTCCTATGAAATGGACAAAAACTCATATAGTTGTACTAATAATTCAGTTTGAAAGTCTAAAGTCTTCCATGGATGAATGCATAATTAGTCAAGAAATAAATTTTTCTAACAATGACTAGCCAAAGATAAAACAGCAATCAATCATGGTAATGTGTAAAAGATGCTCATGTAGCATGTAACAAAAAAGGGACAAAATAAATAACATGGTTCATACTAGCCAAGCTAAGCCCATGAACCTCATTGATATTTTACTGAAAAATATAATTTCTAGCTGACAGTACTTCTACGAATTCTATATCATACAGGCTTGCTTTTCTTTATTTTACTACGCTTTGTCCTAAAGTTTCTCAAGAGCTTAGTTAACTTCTAAGTGATGTAGACCTGTTATACTTCTTTGCTAGACTCAGATGTCTTCATCGAACTAAGTTAGAACGTTCATGTGGCAAATGTGAATGCTAACCAGAAACTTTGAAATGTAGACTAATTTCATGCTCAAATCTGCAATAACTAAATGTCACCTTCCAATATGAAGGACTGGGAAACCATAGACAAGTTAGTTATCGCATCACATGCCAACCTCTCAATGGAAGTGAGAAAAATAATAATTCCCTTTCTATGTTATAATATGTCATCATATTAAGAATATAAAAGGCACATAAGTTAGTCCGGGATCACATATAAATTTATTGATTGAGAACTAAGCTACAGATACACGTCTAGGTTTGTCATGAAATTTAGGTAGAATTGTGAACTTAGTTCAAAAAACCCCCAAAAAATTCCATCGGTGATTAAAATTGGTACATTTTCAAGCCTAAAAATGATATACAAAGTTATCAAAACCTTGGGTTGGCAAATGGAAGTCTTATCACACGTTAGAGTAAATTGAACAATTCCAAATTGTTGAGCCAAAGTATGTGTGTGCATCATACCATATATCTCTATTAAGTGAAAGAATAGAGGAAAGTTTTTAATTTGACTCTATGACTTTTGAAAATACTTGCATGTTATTTCAAAGCTTTCAGCACATAACAAGGAATCACTACGATCATGCTTGGCCATGAACTGAACATGATGCATAATGTGAGTTCATTAAGTCTATTTGTGACTTGTTGCATGTGGACCCTAAAGTTCAGATGTTGCTTGCCCTCTGCATGAATTTCCTGTCAGCTTGGCACTAACCAAGTGTCAAGTCGACAGCTTCCTGTGAACGCGTTATTACTTGATGTACGAGTTGGATTCTCAAGGTCACATCAAGTAATGAGGATCAGCCAAATCAACGATGTTATTTTAATTTGATTTCTTCAAGATTTAACCGACACATGCTTGCTTGCTTGCTTCGAGCTACTATGTTTAAGGGCAAATCGATTTGGTAGGCGTGAGACATTTATACCTTCTTCTGGTATATCTACTCTACGATGGTAATATTATATTGATCATTAGGTGTCGTTTGGAAGTAGTTGTCATGAGTCTGAAGCCCTGCACTTACTCAACTTGACCTGGTCTCTATACAAGAACGGTCTATGAAAGATGGTACTTATGGACACAACAAGTTATCAATACAACGGATATGTAAGGTCTCTAAGTTCTCTGGAACTAAAATACATGAAACTAGGATCGCTAGTAATCGCGAATTAGCATGCCGGGAGTAGTCGGGACCTGTACAAGCTGCCAGTCAATCATGTAACATCCAGACGATGCGAACAACGGAAAGAGTATCCGACATAGACTACGTGGATTCTCATTGTGGATTTTGGGACTTGGTTCCCACCCTCTATTTGAAAAATGCGAATTATACTTTCAAGGATTTGAACCTAATTAGAAATCCTTCAGCAGATAATGAACAAGAAGGAAAATATGTTTCTATCTTCTCAACTTTTATTTCCAAAAGTTTTCTTTAGATTTGTTCTTTAGGCTGAGTTACTGGAAAATAATCTCGCATCTTGAAAATGAGTGGCAGTAGTGTTACTCACACAAATAATATTATTTTAGGTACCGTTGTTATAAGGAGAACACTTCAACATAAGTAAGTGCAAGGCTTCATTATCAATCCGTGCATGCAGAGGTTAGCATGGGATAAAGTATAAAATGGCTACAAGTCATTTTCCACAAATGTTGGATCTCGTGTGGGACGGCCATTCGATTCTCTCTGAAGTGAAAGTGTAGAGTATGGCAACTCGTGCTGAATAATCGTTCTACATTCTGCAATATATCAGGATATGTAGCTGATGAGATGACCTGGTCATTCTATAAGTCGAATCAGAAAGCTCAACAAACCTCGTCATATGGTATCTTTCATTCCATCGAAGAAGCACACACCGTTTTGCAAATTTCCTGGCTGGATCTGTCCTTTATTTCCCTTATCAGCAGGAGGCTTAGTCAGAGCTCGCAACTTAGCTTTCCAGAAATCTCTTTGCTCTCGGATCTCTGGCAAGATTGAAGTTTGTAGAAAATGAACCTAAACGTTATAGCATTCCGAGTTGACTTCTGAATCGCCGGGTCTCATATACCTTTCCATGAGGTTCAAAGAGTCCTCGGCCAAGGAACTGCTCAGTGACACAGCTTAGATGGTTCCGACTTTTTGGATGTAGAGAGTTCTGTCAGTTCCAGGTAAGACATAAGACGCTTGGATAAGGCCATCGGCCTTGCAGTGGTCTAAGGCCTTTCGAAGATATTTGCCCGCATCACTGCACGCCATGCACCACTGTCCACCGCACATGTACAGAGCTGCTTCCAGTCTGTTTCCTATAATGCCGCATCGTCGTTCTGGAACGTTGTTGCAGCACTGTTCGGGATTCTTCTCCAGCTTCTGAATTTCGGTCTTGGCATCAGCATAAGGCGCAAACTTTCCCTCGGTGGTCAGGCACACGGGGCCAACAGCTCTCACCATTTGCAAGTTGTTCAGTAGAGCTACTGACAGTATAATGGCTAGAGCTGAAACTCCGGTCTTCCTCATCTTCGCGACGATGAAGCTGATCTGCAGAGATTCCAGTCAACAACACCAACAATCAAAGCAGAACGTCAAGATTATGTCTGGACCCCCGTAACGATGCGCTTGAGTTTGTCATACAGATCCCGAGAAAGATGCAAATTACGTTGAAAGTCTTCTTAATTCAATTCGGTCAAGTACAAAAAATTCAGCTGACGAAAAGAAATTTAATTCGAGATTGGAACTGGTTGTCGTAAAGGAATACAGGCATCTGACGTTCCATGGAGAATCATCTCACCTGATAGCAAGAATTCGTCAAGAGCAGAAGATACTCCAGTACAATTTTCTAGGATCGGCGCATGGAGGGAACAATTGTGCTGATTCTGAAAATTTCAGATGAACCTACAGAATTTATAGGTCCCGCAACTAGAGAAAGAGGACGTGATGAGTCGATCGAATACCGGGTCGTTGAAGACTTTCGAAGACCATGGAGTCAACGGATAGAACGAATGAGCTTCAGAGGAAGACACTAACTCCGTCAAATTACGTCCGGACCCACTTTGACGGCCAGCGATGTCAGATCCATCGGCGAGTTAATCTGGTCCAAAAGAGATATTATAGAGATTCAAGCCTCGGTGTCAGAGGAGTAGTAGACGCGTGGATATCACATTCCCTCTGCAAGGAGCTGTATATTCTGGCCAGTGAAAGAAGAGGTGAGTTTCTAACGAAAACTCGTGTAAACTGAACATTCTTCCCAATTTGGATAACTCTGTTTGCATTTGGGTTGTTTTGGACGATATTCGACCGTAGTGAAGGTTATACTCGTTAGTCGTCCCATTGATATTCGCCTCATAGGATTGTACAAAACTGTGGCATCCTGCTTGTCGATTAAGTGCAGTAGAATTGTAATGCAATTGGAGGTCAAGAAACAAGCAAGAAGATTGGAAGACCCCTTCAAGCTATACAATACAACGATGAAATCAGATTTGATATAGTGATTTAACCAAATGGTGTAGTAGAGTCTAAGCCACATTAAAATTACAGCACTTGAAATGTTCGAATTATACTAGTCAAATCATCTATGACAGAAGAGCATCTTAGGAAGTCTGTCCCCTACAATCATATTGAGGTTCATAAATAAAACTGAATAATAATCATGGAGTGTTTTTCAATTGTAATATAAGATAATTTCAAAATTATAATGTACCAAAGAATACCATTTATGTTGTTAGCAAATGGATTGTATATATAGACTGTGAAGTATCGTCTTATCATCTTTTCATATACCATAATGATTAGTCAATCACTTATTAGTACAAAAGCATTGTTGCTCATCTTCCTCTGGTTTGGACCTTAACCATTCTCTACTTGTTGATGAATTTCAAGATATTAATTTAAGAATCCTTTTGATATCTTCACTTAAACAAGGAATGGGTTCTTTATAGTCTTACAATCAACTGGGCAATATCTTCACTTAATAGTCTAAAAAGCTGAACAGTGAATTTTGGAGATACCACAAGCTATATCTTTTTAAAGTAGTTACATCATAACTGCAAATCTGGGTGTAAGTGTTTAACAATATTTCAATTATGAGGGAAACGTTTTAACAAGTATATAACTTCTTCAATGACAAGAAAAGGAAAGATGTATGTTAACCTCATCATGATATAAATACTACATTGATGAACTACACAGACATACAAAGAGCATACAATTACTTTCATGGTCTAGGAACGGACAAAATAAGCATTTAGTAAATTGAAAGGCCCGTAGGGTTCCGCCCTTAAAGTTCACAAAACTTGGACTATGCTTTGACAATGAAAGACTTTCAACGAATGTGCCTCAATCCACATGCTTAGTTTCGTGGAGTCGCGATGTGCTTACCGCCACACTCATGATTTCATCGTAAAAAATTAACATAATGGCAAAGGAGCTGTTCTTACCAAAGACAGATATTAGAGCACTTGTGAGTGCTGAGGAATTGGTCAACTTGTTTAGTTCTTTGGTGAAATATGGAAACACTACTTGGGTAAAGGTTATGAAGCTTCACTGATAAATATCCTAGAATCTTACTTTTTTATACTCGGCCGTACATGTTTTCGTATATCAGTACCATATACAGAAGAATTCGACAGATAGGTAGGTAGATACAATGAGACAGCTGTCTCGGTGTCTTGCCTCTCCACATTGATCTACTTGAACAGGGAGAGGGAGCTGTAGAGACCAGGCTGAAAAGTTCAGAAAAGCAGCTCAGATGCATCTGTCTATCAAGTATGACGTTCTGGCTCGTGCAACTCTGTTTTTAAAGGATTTGAAACTGTAAAATGTCCGAGCTTCGGTGTTTCCCTAGCTCCTCCACTTCCTTTGAGCAGCTCTACCGGAACCTTAATCACAAACTTAAACGTTGATCAGGTTCTCCTTCTACCACCAGAATCCTTACCGAGGCCCCAAATCGGTGCCGCCGTTGAAGGACTAGTATTTTTATTTCCAGAGTGAGCCTCTTCGTTCCTTATCTCCGAATGGATGCTCGAGAGTTCTTTCTTAGGCGGGATTACCATCATCAAGTGGACCCAAGATGCGAGGCGACTCGTAGCCGGTGTATAATTTCGAGAAATGAGATCGTCTGTAATTTAACTCGATAAATTTATCCTCAACTTGTTTTCTTTTCTGATGTGGCATTGAGTTTATCAAGATGCGAACTCGAGAACTTAATTAAGAAAAGAGCGTTGCCAGGGATCGATTACGATCTTTACATCAGACCCATGATGATGGTATCTAAGACAATTACGTACTAAGAATGCGATCGGCACCTCTCAATCTCCAACTGCTCATCAGGCTTCTGTGCGGTTTTATAAAAACCGTCGAAACTAGGAAATCACAACGACGATCGTGAATTTCGAAGTGATAAAGTCCACACATTAAGCATGCCAAATCCCAAAAGCAAGTATCTGGGAAGACGGCATTGATGTACGAGTATTGATGTTGTGACTGGCTAAGCATTTTATGAAATCCCAGAACTTTGAGCCTGACAGAGGTTTCTTTATAATAATTCATATCTTAAGCCGTAAAAATTGCGAGTCCATTACATTACACCTTGCAAAAAGCTGAGCTGTGTGGAACTAAGACGGAACTGAGTGCTAAGAAGCGAATATATTATGGTAGCAAACGAATCAAAATTTTCTAGGAACAGATAGGAATTTTTTCAGAGTGGATACTGAGTGGCCTGCATACTGTTGGATTTCAGGTCAGTGCGTACTGAACAAAGAGCTTTGGAAATGACATTGAACAGTACAAAATCTAGAGCTTATCCATCAGTGACTTTGTCTTCAATTATAGATCCACATCATAACTGCCCAATGAACTCAGCTCCTCAGTGCCTTATCTGTCAGGACCAATACTTAGAATCTTTGTTACGTGCCTTTGAAGGGTTGAACTCACATACACCGTTTTGTGTATTCGGCTGAAACGATCCAATCTAAACTCAAGATGTGTTTGAACTTCCAGCTGTGTTTTTCATTCCTTGTACACCGTTGCGTCCATGGAAACCGCGCCTTGGATAAGAATCGTTAAGTTGCAGATGCAGAAGATGAAGAAGAATAAGTTGACAGGAAGGGATGCGTAAGATTAAATGCAGTTTGTCGTTCTCTAATAGTAAGGCGTCTCGTTGCATACGAGGTTGGTTTGGAGCCTCCAAAACTATGCTCAGTACTCAATAGACAAGCTTTGGGATTTCAATGCCAGGCTTAGAAATTCCAAGCTTTTTATTATTGTCTCTGGTGTCACAAACTGAGAGAATGTGTTATACGTACACATCCTCGCTCTCGATCGGTCCTTCTGTCTCAAAATCTGTTGTACAGCGTGCAACCAGGTAAGTAGATAGCTTTTCAATGATATATATCGCACAGTATGCAGGTCCCATCTTGCTGTTCTTGTCATTAAAAGGGATGACTCGCATCCCATGCTTCAATGTCAGCCATTTTTGTGTAAGCCCAGGCGTGGAACGACTTGAAGATATTGCTTCAGAGACGATGGGTTGAGAGTTCAAAGTGAAATGGATTCCGCATTTGGTGCGTCCCTTCTCCTCACTCTTACTGTCTTTGCTTCCGAACTTGACGTCTCAAGGAGCCCATCAATCTCCAACAGATCTGGTCTCGGGGGCATTTTGTTCATGTTGATCATTCTCCACCAGAACCTGTTTTAACCAACGGTTTGTAGATACCTCTCCCCAAACTACAGTCCAGCAAAACTCGAGACTGGTCCTTCACACTGTGGGTGGGAACCCATGATTTGTCACGCTGCTTCATTATTTTCATTGCTGCAGTGGAAACTCCACGTAGGAGTACAATTATCTGAGAATATCTCGAATAGATTCGGAATATTCGATGCCATAGTAGCTTTATTCATGGTAGTCACTACCATGAATCTTGCACTATCAGGTAGTGCAAGGTTCAGCCTCTCACTCTATACCGTGTACAAACATCTTGTGCCTTGGCACTTTCTGTGGAGCGCACCGGCTTTGAATGCAAACACATGTGTTCCTTTAATTGGAATAGAACCGCTGTTGCACTTCAGAATGTGGTACAGTGTTTGGTTCGTTGCTAATTGACGTCTTCGAGCAATTGTGACGTTTGAGTTTGACACGCACTAAGTTTCACAATCAGCTTGACGTCCGAAAATATCTGAAACTTTGCAGAAACTGTTTGTCATGAATTAATCCACTTCCCACATATGCCAGAACCTTCCCCCTCATAAAGCCCTATTATACACCGGTCACGCTACTTGTTGTGTTACAGTTCTACTTAGTAGCGCAATGACTTTTTTTACGTGTTAACCCAGCTCGTTCTGAGTTCCTGTATTATAACCGCGTTCCGTTATTTCATTAGCTTTTGGACATGACTTGTATAGAGAATAATATAAATGAAAGAATAGCAACTGAGAAGGCATTAACTGTATCATCTCTTCTTTAGCAAAACAGTCTCTTTGGAGTCTTTGTCTTCCCAGCTGTCAATATGATAACAGTTACTGAGCAGCAGTTAGTTCCGGCATTTATCATCCTGATATTCGAGTATAAAAACTATTGTGAATGTGAGTTCATCTAAAGTGCGTCTCATTATGTCAGATGAAATCCCAATGTGCAGGATTAGTCACTTGGGCGAATTTGAAAGGATTAATATTTGAGTAATATACAGGATATGCAAATCTACAGTCACTAGGGCTAGATTGTCATTACATGAAATATATTTGAAATGCTATCAAATATATTTGAGCGTATAGATTGGAATGAAAATGTATAACCATGTATAATTAGCCGAAAATTAGTCAAACTATGGCCTTTTAACTTCTCTCTAAGTCTCTTTACATACTCTTGTGCTAATAAGTAAGAGATAATATTAAAATTTAGTTTTATGAGATATCAGCTTTTTCTTTTAGATTTTTTTTAGTTTTTATTGTTTAGTAATAACTTGCAGATAAGTCAATATCCTATGGGCTCTATAGAAATTGACCGATGTGATTCATTCTGATATTTTACCATTATAAGTTAGGATGATATAAAGTCAGTGAGCGAATTAAGGGATGGAGGACAATGAGGGGCAATCAAGAAAAGTTCCAGTGAGAATTGGGAGACACATTGAAGGAGAGAATCATATGTGAGGAAGTGTTTCCTACATTCGGGAAACAGTACTGATTATCTCTGTGTTTATTTCTCACTGTAATGACAGCAAAAAGTCAAGTCCAACTATATTGATCTTGGATATATACTCGAACTAACTTTGGTATGTGACTGTGATTTTCTGTTGGTTATGGGGATTCAAATCCCTAAAACTTTTCATTCCATTCAAGATGTTTTGACTCTCCTATAAAACAATGATTATAAATGATTAGATATATAAATAAACAGTGAAGGATTTCATCTATGATAATTTCACCATCTCGTTCTTTACAATTTCTTTATATTCTTATCGATGATGTTAATTATGCTGGGATTTATCTAGAAAATAATTACAATAACAACAAAGAAAGTATATCTTTAAGGGTTATTTAACCTTATTTGGATTGATACAGTATATATAACATTACGATGTTACTGTCAAGTTGATGAATATTTTCGATTATCGTTTCTCATCAAAGCATAAGATTTAGAGATCTACTTATTTTCTTGAATCATTCAGCTTTGTATTATCGTTAATAGTTTTACTTCTGTTGCATTTCATTGATTTCATTAATCCATGTGTATTTAGAGCTATTTTAATTTGAGAGTTTGTTTAACTGTATGCAAGAAGTAATGCGTTCACGATTTTCCATAGATGTGAGGAGAAATTACACAGTTAGCGGGGAAAACCAGGTTAAGTCCAAACCCAAACACAATCGCGCTGTTGAGTAGCAAAGGTTCACACAGTTACGAATGTCGAATCGAAGGTTTGCCTTTCCATTTTCTTCATCCACCGTCCACTTCCAGACCCGTGTTTTTCGATTTGATCTGGAATTAGTATCAAATGTCGTCTTGTGATCCTGCAAATCAATGTCCAAGCTCGTGGCAAGCGCGGACTCAACCTGTGCTGCCTCAGGTCAAATTAAATTTAGACGAAGCTTGAGTTGATGCATATAACAAGGAAATAGTCTCAGATCCGAAGATCTGTAGTCATAGGAGGAAGAGCTGTTCATGGCATCAGCTTTCAGGCACTTCTTCAGGTTCCACTCTGTCAAGCAAAGTTTCGAATGGAATATACCTCAACCTGCTGTTCCAACATATATTCTTCCCGATAATAGAACTTCAGTCACCGAACCTGAATTGGTCAATGCCGCTGGCATCTTTACTGTCCCATTCGGTAACCTCTTCTCTACGCAAATTACTGAGTTCTATGAATCTTGCTTTCTGTACCATACTTGATGATTGAATCATTTCAAACCGATATAGGTTTGGAAACAATTCATGAAAACTTGGATACAATTTGTTCGAGAGATAGTGAAACGGACTGACTTATATTTGTGCATATTGTTGAGGTCCAGTTGAACATCATGCCCGTTGCAAATAAGAACGTTTAAGATGTAGGAATTATCGTAGACATGAGGATCGTGTTCACGGCAAAATGAGGCCACTCAGAAAATCAGAATGTCCAGATAGAAAGACAAAGTTATTCAACAAAACTGTTCCGGTAGTCACAGAGTGAACCATTCAGTCGCCGCGTGCTAGAAAAAGTAAGGATCCAAAAAGTTCATCGGGTTTGCTCCGTGGCTGGTCGGGACACGCCAAGATTAGCCTCTTTGTTCCGTAATCTTCGAAGCCCAGTCAACATAAATCTGGAACTCTCGATCAACAGTCAAGCACATAATGCAGGAATAGCACTTCGTGAATACAGGAAGAGCGCTGAAAGTGTTCCTTGTAGCGCCATGAATCCCCGCGCATTACAAACGTTTCGTGGGTGCTTGAACAGAGGTCTTACACATTGTCCCAGCTCACTTGCGACACTGCTCCAGTCATAAAATTATGCAAGAATGCTTTCCGCATGGGTTTACATGTGGAATCACGGACTCTTTCATGACGAATAATCTTATGAGAATCTAGCATGTTCAAATGAGAATATCCTTTTCCAAACGTGAGCCAGTCACTCCTTGATGTGAATCGACTGGCATCATGGAGGATTCTAGTACTAGAGCTCTTTCCTGTCGATATTTATACCCGCAATGAAGCGCTTCTACCTACGGACCAGAGTAACCGTGGCCGGTGGTGAGAATATTGCAGCTTATATTGAAATGCCAGTTACTTTATCCATATCTCTTTGTGACATTCGCTGTTTCTCACTCTGGCAGAATGAGAAACTAAGAAGTTTAGGCAGCAAGAGCATCATATAGCTGTGCAGAGAGACGATAGAATCTCATGAATGTGTATTCATGTATTAAATATCTCTTCACTTCTTTTAACAGTACACTGATGTATTTAGTTTCTGAAATGGACCGCACATATAAAAACATGCATGCGGAGGCCATATGATAAGTAGTCGCGATGGCCTGGTTCATGTGAAGGCATAGACGTCGTACTATGTACTCCAGAAGCTTTCTCAACTCCACTTGCAGAAGAGTTCGCAAAGCCATGAACAACAGACCTTCCTAACTAGCAGCAGTAGCAGCAGCAGCTTGATGAAGCTCTATGTATGTATACTGATGTGTAAAAAAGACCGAGGTCGATTGAGCATCTGCTCGGACCAGACAGAGTTTCAGGACTAGTGAGATTACTGTTACTAAGTGCCTAGGAAATTTCCTTCCTAAAAGAATTTCTAAAAGAAACAATGATGATGATGATAGCCTATGAAGTGGATCATCTCGTGGTGGTCTCAACTTCAGGCTGAAAATGCCCTCGGGTGTCTGGATGGGTTGGTGACGGCACACTTCCGACGAACCTCTCCTTGAGTTCCGAGTTTCAGATCGATTTTGCCCATCTTCACCATCGACAGGGCGAAGGCGTCGAAGAAGGAGCTCTGGTTGGTGGAAATAGATGTCACGAGGTTCGAGCCGATGGGGTTCTCGAGGAGTGCCGAATCGGATTCGAACAATCCTCTCTTGCTTCCCACGTCCTGGTAGTACACGTTGTCGAACACTCCGTCGGTGGTGTCCATCATAATGAACGTGCCCGTGTTGTCCTTGGGGCATTTCACCTTCAGGTCGTCGGCGAAGGTCGGATCCATGGATGGATCCGTGAGGTCGGGAACTCCGGTAAAATTGTACAGACGGTCCCACACTTTCACGCAACGTCCGCGTCCTAGTGTGTGGGCACCTATGGAAGCATGTACAAACTGAAAATTAGAGTTGGGTGTCGTTGCAATTTAAACGTAAATCTTCAACGAGAAACTCCAAACCATGTTGAAGGCAACTGGAATAAAAAGACTCTCAGTTGATCCTGGTTCCTACATTCGAGAACAACTCAAGTATTACTTCCTCGAATTCTCTGGTAGTGGCAATGAGCTTCCACTTACCGGATAGGATGACCATGTCGAGGGCATCGAGGCCAACATTAGCAAAATTTCTGACCAGATCGATGAAGCTTCCATCAGAGGGTGGTAGCTTCTTCTGAGCCTCTTCTGAGGACGAGATGTATCCATCCCTGCGGCCCAAAGGAACAGGCCATGTAGGTCCTCCAGTCTGATCGTGAGAGAACATCTTCAGTTAGTGAATGTGATATAAATCAATCATCTGGTTGTAGACTTATTTGAATCTCCTCACTGATAGAACAGAGAGGAGCCAAACATATATAGTTTGTATATACAGAACGCATAACGATGACACTATCCTCAAAAAGTTGTCAAAGACTTTGTTCTGTTCGTTGCAAATCTGTCTGATATCAGTGGTTGCCTGTTTTCTTGCAAGGTAGATATAAGCCAGATATCTAAAATTTGGATGGAACTTCGAGTGAAATCGAATGAAACTTGATCTGGTTTTTGACTCAAACGAGAGGTTACCAGTTCGGTAGCGTCACGAGCTGCCAGAGCCAGAATGTCGGCGCAGGAAACCATTCCGGGGCATTGCTGTTCAAGAGCAGCCTTGATTTCATCAACCTGCTCGAAACCCCGCAGAGAATTGGCATTCGGTGGGGAATCTCTTTCGGATTCCTCTAAGGTGGAAGTTGCATTGAGGAGAACAGATCCATCGCAGCCCTGCACAATAATAGCATCCGAGATTCCAAATTTCAACACACCACAATGAAGTTCAACTCTGGAAACTGCGTTTGACACACCAATCAGAGTAGTGAATCTCTGAACTGACCGTACTACGGAATTTTCATTCCATCTTTATCTCAATGTCTGGTTTTGTGGCTCTTCTTACGTCCTTGTGTGAAGACTGTGAAGGCTATACAGCAGCCTGTGAGCAAATGACTTACCGTGCAAGATCATGACAGGCTGATATTTACAGTGCAAGCAACGACTTTTGGATGTCCACTACAATGCCACTTCAAAAGACTGTTTTTTTACTTCCAGAAGCCTATCACGATCAAGAATCGCTTTAAAGTTTGTTCGTCATCCGAAGAGAGACAGATTGTTACCATGACGAAGCAATCGTGGAAATGGAGACGTAAGAGCCCTGCAGCAATTCCCACATCCGCTGCAACTTGGGTCGTCACCAGATCTCGAACGATGGTAGTCACATTGGGGCAACTTAGCGCATAGAAGTCATCAGTCAAATCTGCATTGCAAGCTAGTGCCAGCATCAAAAGTCCGAAGGCACATGATGCAACTGCCTGCCTCCTGGATGCCATGATCGCTTGAATGTTGACGGATATCACTGCTTTGGCTAAAAAATGAATCTCAGCTTCAGCAATTCGTCATCCCTGCGAGTAGAAACCAGTACAGAATAAACGACTCTGGCAAACTATACATCTTCTCATCAGCAACTCAAGATATCTACGTGATGAAGGTGAATTGAGGAATACTATAAACCCCAGAGCACAAGTGGGAACCATTTCAGGTTGTCACGAGCAGATACTACGGCCCAACAACAACGGTCTCTCGCTAATCATCCTGACTAGAAACCAAGGCTGATAGATTTATGTATGAGCGCTCTAACTGCATCGTCTGAAAGAATCTAATTCGGTTGAAAATGTGGATCCAAAGAGAATCATGCGAATCATGAGCAACAGAGTGCTCCATGTCATGCAAGAAGACCGATTGAAGCACGGAAATCAAAGCAGCAGCAGCAGCGGAGAATCGAAGACAGATTCACTCACACGAACGTCTGAAACCGTCATGAGTTCAGACCACCGAGAAGTTGTTGACTCGATTACTGTCAGGCTTCGGGAGATCCCAGGGAGGTTATAAGGAGCCGATTGGAAGTTGCTCGCTTTGGCTTCTCTCTCTCTCTGTTTGGGACCCATATGATTCACAATTGTCATATACTCGCAGCTGCGGGCCTGGCCTGCAGTTTCGGCATCTGTTGCGGCCCGACAACAGAGGGCCCATGACACGGCGCCACCTCTCTCCCCTCTCTCTCCTGGCCCTTCTCGGATGGCACTGGGAGCTTGACCATGATTATCTCACATCATTCATCAGAGTCCAGTCTTGGTCCACATGGTCCGCCAGCCACAGGCCGCGATCGCATCCAAGGCAAGAACATCTCGGACACACATGCAATCATGCAAACGAGCACAGGCTCCAATATGAGCCCGCGGCCGCGAATGTGAGTGAGACTAGTGACGACGTTGATTCGCGGGCGTGGATCTTCCAGAAATAGATCCCCAGAGCACCATTTGATACGCTTCTCGGTTGCAGGACCGGGCGAGAACGCTCTGCACGACGCCCACAAACGCACACTCTGCAATGGAAAAAACAGCTTCTCTCTCCGCGCCCGCCGCCCCCACCCCCTGGCCGCAAGCTCGGAGCTAGCTAGCTAGCAGCATTACGACGTGCATGCTGCAGCTGCGGCTCTTTTCGCCGGAGCCCCCTCCTCGAATCGCATAAGTGCCTTCAGCGAATGAGCTCGAATGGAGTCCACAGTCGGAGCCGACCCCGCCCCAACCCGTGTCTCAAATCACACTCCCAGCCGATGCTCACTGTTGGATTCCCTCAACGAAAGCCCAATTTTTCCCAAACATCCGACCTCGAACGATTATTCTCCTTTGTTTACTGTATCATATGAATTTAATATTGCAGGTGGGCACTTTTGGGATGATAGATGCCCTCTAAATTGGCGACTCGAAGACTTGCGACGAGAGGTCAATGAATAGAACATGACGTCCCCAGGATTGCTTCACATTTTCTGTGGTGTTGGGAGGCCTGCTTCCATGATCTATGCAGTTCGGTGCAGGTGCCACTTGAGGTCGTCATTTGAATTATTCATCATCTCGCTACGTGAAACCGGCAGAACATGACTTCCAGGACTTTCCTCATGGGTGCTTGAGGCACGTTAATGGGTGTACGTCAACAAGAGCCCATTCTAATTCTGACCCGCTTTATCGCCTTCTCCATGTGCTCCAATTTCTGTGGAAAGTATTCATAGACTGTTGATGCTCACAGGAGTACGACTTTGTGCTTCTTAATGGGCCTTTGAAAGTGAATTATCTTCAGCGTTTGGTTCGTACTGTAATCCCCGTACCGCCATGATCTATCTACTTTCCTGGAGCATTTTCTTCCTTCCAGCCGTCTTTGTGTGAGGACCCGACCCTGCAAATATTCCAGCGCAAGTTTCAGTCTAGTTGTAGATAGACGAGTTTAAGAAACCTGTACAATCATCAAAAGGATGGATAATGTACGATACAAACACATCTTAGAGTATTATTCTTTTGGTCCTTTACTTCATCAGATTCAGCACAAGGAAAGTGATTGATACTTTGACTCGGTTGACAGATCCAGGAGGCATTGTTAGGGATCTCCGAAGCGTCAAAGCACTCACGACGTGCATCAACCATATTTATTGTTCTTATATTAGTCTTAGTTCAACATTCAGTAAAGCTCATAAAAATATGCCTTTGCGTGAGTGTATGAATGGCATCTCACCACGAAGCGAACCGTGTCCAAGTTTTATGATTAAATCTCAAGGCTGTGATATATTCTGGAAATCAACGAACCTTTTTGACTTCTTCGAATGATTGAATCACTACTTACAGTTTGACTTCCACATATCGATAGTATATAGCTTTACTCGGTGAGTTGGTGACCATGACAGGAACATGGTATTAGTGATTTTTTATTTTAAACTTTATTACGTGGGTCCGCCGTTGATGAAACTGTCGTGCCAAGGACTCCAAGAGACTCTCACAACCTAAACTACTAGAGTCTTGAACGATTAAACACGTCCAAAACTCGATCGAATATGCTATCAACAAGTAGAACTCTACATTCTAAGAATACCCAGGTTTAGCAAAAAGATCCAAGACATCATGGAGGCATTGACATAATGACCTCCAGTTTGGGATTTTGAAGTCTCAAAATCAGCACAGAAATACGTACGGCTAAAAAAGTAAAAGTTTTCTGTGATTCAAACTGATAGAAAAAGTCTCCAGACGGCCGATTCAAAAGTGTGGCCCTCAAGCGTGCTGGAGTTGAACTTGAGCTCGATCATGCCGCGCAGCATGGTGGCGACGAACTTCCTGGTTACTTGAAGGGCAGGGCAGGGCAGGGCTAAGTTCTCAACCTCACAACGCACTCACATGGCTGACACAGTCATGCACGAAAGAGAACAGTCCCTGTTCATGTCGGTCGCTCCTTTTGCTCCCCGTCCGGCCGACGTGGTTGCGTTAGTAGTGAAAAGCTGAAATTAATGCTGTTAATGCGCAAGTTTCGGACTTGTGCTGTCTCTGAGATCCATTTGTCATTATAATGCACAAGGAAGGCTCAAGTGGGCTATTCACCGCTTCTCAGGCAGGAGCAGCAGCAGAGTGGCCTAGTAACGATTTCCAGTCTTGGACGTTGGAGTCGCTCAACCAGTGACCAGCGGTGGTTGATTCCGGGCGAATTATATTTCTCACGATTGCAGCATATGCGATTTCTTCGCCTCCCTATCCTCTGAATGGACGATGAAGCACGTGTGAAACAAATCCCACTCTCTAGCCTGTTGTGATGTATCACGGAACAAACTGGGTTCTCCTCGGAGGTTCAGCATACTCTTACTGACTCATCAGGAAGCCTTGAGAACAGGAGGAAATGCCATGACTTCATTCCCTGAACAAGACTGTCTATGTAATGTAGGTGCTGTTAGAACTATTCAGATGAAATCCAATACTTTTGAGGGTGCCAAAATCAGTCTGTATATTTAAACGGCGAAGTCTATGACTCGTATATATTCTGTGCAAGATTCAAGTAATATCAGAAGTCAAGCAAGGCCAGCAAGGATATGAAGTGAGAAAGTTGCAAAAGCATCGATGCTTAAACAGCCAAAATCTACTTTGTGTAGGTGACGTAGAGCCAGATACGGCGAATATGAAAGGAAATCGTGGATTAATAAACCAATGAATAAATGAGTCGCAAAGGAATGGTATGGCACTGCAGTCGACAGCATCTAAGTGGTGGAGGTCAAGATTGCTTGAATCCCTTCATTTACCCGTGTTTATTGTCTGTCTGTTCTCTCGTTGACAGATAATTTGACTCTGATCTCCATAAGGACGAAAAGTTTCTTCGTTCTTCGGAATACCTAGGCCGGGATGAAAATCTACTGAGATCCTTTTGAACTTGATTTCAGGAAAGACATTTCACATGTCAACACAATCGCTGGAGGAGGAGAAAACATTGGGCTTGGCTGGACATTTTAATACAAAGAAATAATTTGGAACTGAGGTCCACCCGGTCAACGAATGGAAACTCATGTGAACGGATGACTGAAGCAAAGCTCGTCATTGTATGTCCTGAACTCTGGAATAAAAATCTGAAGATCTCAATACTACTGTTCAGAAGCAATCCTGAAGTCCATCACCTTCGCCTGTACCTTCGGTCAGAATACGCATCAGATCTTGAGTAGATGATTCGATTTGGTTCGTTCACAGGGGTTTTATACACTTTGTGTGTACCAGAGTGATGCTCTCTTTTAAGAATTAGACAATTAAATGCATGACCCAATCTCTTGCATTATTTTCAGCATGTCACATTTCCCAAAAACTTGGTGAATCAAAAATACAATGAAAACGTGGTGAAAAACACTGCTACTTTCAGAAAAAATGTGTACTTCCTGCCAGATCTAAGATGAAACCCGTCAAATGGGCTTCTGCAATAAGAGGGCATGTACAAAAAGAACAAATCTACAGCCCCGAGGTCAAAAGAAAATATACACAGTTGGAGATATAAGCCTTCATTCAGACGAATTGTATTTCTAGGTATGTAATTGAATGTAACAATTCTTGGTTCATACGGTCTCACGACTGATGGACAGTTTGTGAAAAGCATTACATCGAGCAAGTCGGCTAGAGAGAGGCTGTTCGTGTGCTCTGATAAGCTCGAGATTAGTAAAGAAAGAACATCTTCGTCTCTCTTTTCTCAATTAACTGTAATGGTTGTCTGGACAAGAGGAACTAGTTCTCATCGAATCGTCAGCGACCCTTCCTTATGACATTATCTCTGCTGCTTTCCAACGCGCATGTCCCCAGCAACAAACGCCGGTGGTCGCACCGCCCGCACGCCGCTGATGCCCACTGCTTTTTCACTCTCCTTCCAAGCGGCGATCCGCCTCTTGAACATTTGATAGATAGAAATGTTCGTTTGCACCAATTGCTGCGCATGATGCCTGCCGTCAGCAACTTCATTCTGCCCCATTCGGAGAGCATGTAATCAAATTAAAATAACAAAGCGAATCTGATAACAGCACCTGAATGAGTCATCCTTCCACTAACCATCACGTAAATGTTGTAGATCGTGAAATCAACTCTTCGCGAGTGAATTCATTTGTTGATGGATGTACTACTCGATGGGGCCCTACATTCCATCCTTATTATAAATTACTTGGTACCCATTTCACTTCGCTTGTGAGTTATGTTTTGTCTATTGGGGCAGGCACTTACTGGAAGAATTTGTTGGCCATGACTCTAGATACTACTGTACAGGTGAAACCCACATTTGTCCAGTCTGCAGTTTTGTGATAATAACTTCTTTGGCTACGCGAAGATCATGCAAGTTCTAGTATTATACGAGGAGGATGGCATCACATTCCAATCGATTGGATAAATCCTGCGGAGAAGTTCACGAGAGTGACGGTTGCTGCAGTTCTATGAGTTATCATGGTAAAGACTTTTCCTGGCCTTTTGAGATTCCCTTTGTAGATATTCGCAGTCAAGAGTACGAGCCTTATCAAAAGAATCGAAGAATACCTTTGTATCCCTCTTGTAACTTTAAAAACTGTCGCCTAAACATCGTATAAAATAGTTTTAACTTGCTCCATATTTACATATATAATACTTGTTTGTTCAAAGAGTAATTCTTGTTTATTTATATATCTCATCATACTATAAGTTAATGTTAAATTAACATCATGCTTTCATTGATTGTAACGCAGCAATAAGAAAATATCTTTTATTTCAAAAGATTCACAATTATATTCTTGTTATGGAAAAAAAAAAAATTGCAATATAGACTAGTTCATTTGGACTTTGGCTTTTAATTTTTATCTCTAGATATTCAAATGATGATATAGGTTTGTAATCATCTTTAATTGATTAAAATTAAAATACAGATTATTCAAGATTGAATAGAATACATCATAGTGGAATATCTACAATAATATTATAATAATCCATGTGTTAGTTAATGTATTAGTTGGAAACGACACGTGTGTGATTGTTAGGTGAACACTGAGTGCGTTAGTTGATAATGACATGTCATCAATCCATTAGAAATTGATTGGATGGAGGAGAAAAAAATTTATCTTTGTGTATATGTTTGAAGTATCTATATAAATGAGAGTAAAATCATTCAAGTTTCTCCATATTCAAAATTTATATTTCACCTTGAAATGAAATTCTCTCAAAAATCTATTATTAATAGTTCCCAACCAAAATTCTAATTCAAAATCATAACTTGTTTTATAAGGTTTTCTTTGCAAACATAATCCTCAACATGGATTTTCATTGCATAAATTGTGACACATACATATTGTTCAAATAAGTACAACATAAAACTATAATGTCTCAAACACACATTACAAAACACAAAGCATAATATGAAAAAGCAAAGCAAACTAGTCATCCATCCATCAGTTTATGCTAATTATACCTCACCCTACCATACTCTACTGAATAGAGTTCTCGACTAATGACTGCCAAATGTTTGTTATATATCTATGAGGATTCACCTTTCCTCTATAATTTTGCAAATAGAATTCATGCCTCTATCGCTTTTCATCTCATGGTGCATGGAATCGGAGGAAGTCAAGGGTCAAAAAAAATCAAATCGATTCCGTGCTAGCTACAAAACTGCCAATAGTACAAAGAGTATGCCACGCAACCTCGGAATCCATGGTACAATTTCTCGTGTGAAAGGTGCAGGACTCATTCATAGGCAATTCACCATCCGATATAAACTCGAGCACTCGCAAAAAATGATCTCCGTGGAGAGCTGCTATGTGCAACATCAACATGATCGTGGATGCCAATGAGAGGGTGAGAAGGAATTCCTAGGCGACGTCAACGAACAGAGTACAATCATCCACGAGGTTCACATTTGGGAAAAAGGAAGATTTGACCCATAGCCTTCAATAGATTCCAGCCCGCATCAGCAGCCTTGGAGGTCCTTGCACCGAAGCACTAACACTCCTCTATTTGATACATTCACTTTGTTCAATGACAGAGATTTCTTCTGTAGAGTAGGGGATAATTATACTACACTAAGAGATAACTAATCCCTCCCAAAAATTTTAATCTATTCTTATGATTATGTACCATCAAGTTTACTTGCTACAACAATCCATTAATAGTCTTTAATCATCAATCCAATTTTCTGTAATTTGCAAGATTTTAACAACCTTAACATAGATTTCTATTTTCATTAATTTTCATAGATAAAATAAAATAAATTAAAAGGACAAAAAATATTTATATTAAATTCTTCATGAAAAATAAATATTTTATTAAATTTATTGATTAAGGAATAATATAATATTTTAAACTTAAACTCACAAAGCTAGAGTATGGATTTTAGTTAAACTTTGTGTAGTGTAAATTTAGACATTTTTCACATTTGTTCATCAAGATGTTCATTTATCATATATAAAATCAGAAAATTTTACAAATATATAGATTCAAAAAAAATGATTTATAACCACATGCTATATTATTCTCATAGCAATTATGTAGATGTGACAACATGTATATCTTTGTAACATTTATTTATTTATTTAATAATCAATAAAGATAATATTAATTTATTTAATAAAATATTCATGAATTTTTTGAGTTTTAGAGAATTAGAGTAAACAAATTCTGATTAATTTTTATTTTTATTTTTATTTAATATATTTATTTTGGTAATATATTTATTACCAAAATATTCTTGTATTGAAATTCAACCGTCAAATTGATTGGATTACATTTAATTTTCATTTTGTCCAGGTAAGAACAAAATTTGTATAAAACCTTGCTTATGAATAAGAACTCTTAGAATATGTGGTTCCTTAGTTCTTGGAACAAATTATAGATATGAATATCTGAAAAACTACTGTTATTCACAAGTCAATCACACATTGCAACATCTAACATTCATATATTTTATTGTACAATGATTTGGACATTCATACTACTAACTTGAATTTTTTATAATTTAAATAAAATTGTTTCATTTATATATATATATATTGAAAAGTGAATATTCAATGCATCTAAGCGATATGCTAAATATGTGTCTTTAAGTTTAGTATTGCTAAGATGTTTAGCACATTTGAAGAAGATTATGTTTGTTGTTTTCAAAAATAAACAATGATATTAAATTGCATAACGTAGAATATAATCTGCATGTTTTTTGATAATGCTATGACATTTTCGAAGATGAATAATAAAAGCTATGTGAGATGATGATTTACAAAAATCTTAGTTATGATCATAGGAAAAAAATTACATTATTGTTCAAATAAATTATGTGACTTGATAATCATGAAGATGTGATGAAAGAATCACTTATTATTTTTGTAGAGTTGTTTTAAAGTTTGATTGTGTATGGTAGTTATTAAATTGCAAATGCAAATAGTTTTTTAAATTTGACTGAAATCATGAGTTTTATCACGTAATTACAAAACTTTTAAAGGTTTTGTCGTCATCAACGTAAGTTTATCATTGTGTCTCATAAACTTACAAATCAATATCAAAGGAAAATGCATGAAAGTTTTTAAATCAAAGCAAAATCAAGTTGACAACTTATGACTTTCCAAACTCTTGTGTTCTACTAAAAATTGATGAATTGAATTTCAATTTTTTTTAAAAATTAGTGACGAAAAATGTTATTTGAATAAGTATGTTTTTTGGCTTGTCAATGTTTATATTTTTCTTTGAAAACTATTTTTTATTTTCAATGAATAAAAATTGAACATAATGATATCAAAGCCAAGCATAAATGAAAGATTATTTTCAAAAATATTCATTTTAAAGAATATCATGATTTCCACTTCAATAATTATTTTTATATTGACTCTATCATTAACACATTTTACTGCAAAAACATCAAGGAAAAAATATTATAAAAAAATTTGAAATAAAATTTGAGAATAGAAAAAATACTAAAAAAATATATAATGAATTAAAAAACTTGAAAATTATTATTTCGATTTATTTGAATTTTATACTACATAATTTTTTTCATTTTATGATCTCAATGTCTTGATCTATGAATCTTAATTTTGAAAACTAATTCCAAAAAATTTTGTTTCAAATCCTAAAGACTAGACCTAATTCGCTAATTTTATACTCATTGGAACTATCTACTTCAAGCAATAGAACTAATGTGATGTAAACATTATGAAATACATATGCATGTTACAAAAGAATAATAACAAATGATAGAGTAATAATTCATGAGCTTTAAAGTTTTAAAGCTAAAAAGACATGTTTGACAAGTATTCAAGAGCTTTGCAATATGCAGTTGTCTAACCAAAATATGCAATTTACAAAAACAACAGTTCTATATACTACTTAAGCATTGCAAATATCATAAATCAATGTGATTTACCTTTAGATATGATACACTACTATGTTATACTTGTACCTTGTGCTATAAAATGTGAACTCACGTTGTCTAGTATTACGAGCTCCTCCGGTCTTTCACGAAAGAGTTATTGACGTGTCAAAGTGAACATACACATCTCCAAATAAAATTACACTTATACATGTGCGTATACTGGAACATCACTATCATCTCACCATTTGCCATATTCCTAAGTGGAGAGATAATATGATACGATTTTACTGCAACGCTTGTTATCATCCAATCCATGTAAATTAACTCATCAAGCATTGAACATGATCTCCATCATGTAGAAGATGTAGATGTAGGAAATTACATAAGACCTATTTGACCTGAATTAGTATTTAGGCATGTGAACAACAATGATGAAGATTCGTTAATCCACCTAAGTGGTAAGCTCATCGCGTTTCGAACGGAAGTGTGTGAAAGCGAAAAATACAATCCTTTAGAAAAGTAAGAACGTAGACAAGGCCGAGTAACGCGAAGAATGGTAGGTATGATGAAGGTGGAATGAAGAGAGAGCGTTTGAAAGTTATGATGAAACTGGAACTCAGTGAGTCTCGTATAGTGGAGAGGGAATGAAGAAGTGATGGACGACAGAAAATGAGAGATCTCGGTAGTATATCAGCCTCCGTACCCACTGTCGAGTACAATTACTAAATCCGCTGCTCTAGTGGCAAAGAAGTCTTCCTCCTCATCGTCACGCACTGTCCAATACGTCGCGCAACGGGCGAAAATATCAGCAGTTAAAGCTGGTGGTCACATCGACAATCAAACTTCTCCCCACGGCCTTGGTTCAAAATACTCCATTACTTTATCCATTCCGGTGATTTGAGTTTTTCGCACATACAGACATCACAAAATCCTGTAAGATTTTGCCATCTCTGCTGTAAAATGCACTTGCCCATCATTTAAGACGACAGTATATATAGCATGATTTGACCATGCTCTGTTCTGGTCTGTAAGACACTCAGGTGACTGGCACACTGGTCGCTGGACAAATATTTGTCCAGCGATAAGTGTTTGATGAAGAAACCTGTAATTTGTGAATCTGGACTTCACTGTTATCGGGTGATGTATCAAATCTGATGACGAACACAAGATAAAAATGTGTGCTATAGGCTGGAACATGGTTCAAGTCAGTGTCACCATGGACTAAACCGAAAGATATGGGATAGTAAGTGTTTTACATTGATATAACAACATACATGGAACAATTTGTACCAAGAGATTCAATTCAATCCCTTCATATTGAGATTTCCTACTTTGCATACTGCGCAAGGACGTGCTGTTTCTAATTCTTCATTCAGCGCAATTTGACGTGCGAAGCACTTCTGAAAAGGTGCGTAGTCTAGCAGAGTAGACTGCTTCCTGATATTGATCGGAAGAGACCTCCTAAAGCCACCTCTTGCTGACTTACGCGTGTATAATACAACTCAGGGGTGTCCAGGTCGACTACAACAAGTCAATTGTAAACAACCAGTCGATCGCCTGACGATTTGACGATGCCATCTTTCCTGAACATCCTACTGCTGTGGGGTCCACACCACCCCTGTTCCTGCCGAGACCCTGGCACAAGCAAAAGAGCAGCAAATTTTACCAAACAAATCGATATATGGTAATGATTACATGATAAGCTTCAACTGAAACCGTGCATCTTACAGACATAAATCCTCCAGTAGATAGCCATCTACAAACAGAACGCCTAACAAGACTAATCTCTGAATTCATCTCTTTACATGATGAAGTGGGAATGTATGGAGATGCAAGAGTTTCAAGCAGTGTAGAATGATGTGGACGACGACTGAAGAACAGGGAGAAGATCTTTCCACAGGGCCTCATAATATCTACGTCACTCCTCACACTTATCACCTACAACGATGACGACAGCTTGAGAAGGACGTTCGGCATCGATGCATTAAGATTGCGCCTGCCAGCCTATCGCAGAGTGGACTTAGTAGTGTGGTCAGGAGATTTTTCTCCATGAGCTGTGGAGGTTCTTACTCATAAAAATCTGCGATGATGAAGCCCGAAATGTTGCGAGTACCGATGACCTGGAAAGCATTCAAGTGGAGGTTGAGGCAGGGCGGGTTGTGCTCGCATTTGTCCACAATGGTCACGTTCACGGATCCACCTGTACAGGTACGGGTATCCCAGGGGTGTTCGGCGTCCGCAACACACTTGACGTTGATTACACTTCCGCACGCTGCGCCGTCCTTGAAGTAGGGCTCACCGATTCCAGCCACGATCATGCCGAGCTGAGATGCCCTCTTGTTCCCCATCGGGAAGCACTTCGTGCCTGCACACCAAATTGCCTTGCTCTGTAAGTTCCTATGAATGCAATGAACGAGAATGCAGACAGAGAGGCGTGGAGGTCTGCAAATTCGACAGCTGTTTCGCTCTGTTTACACGGCTAGGCTCCCAGTGGGGTGGAAACAGAAGCAGAGATGGGAAGACATTCGTGCATTATCTCGTGTTGGCGGGCTCCATCGGAACAGTCCAATGAATCCTGCCCCGAGTCTAGACCTCTAAGACACAAATTCGAAAGGATGGACAATTGCTGCTTACGATAGAAGTCGCTCTCGGTGAAAGTCGTATTGACTCGAGTGAGCGCTGGGCCAGGAGCTGGAGCCGTCTGGCCATGAACCTGAGGCACTGCCAGGAACAAGGCCACCGTCGCTATGAGAATCCATTTTGCAGACATTTTGAGCAGATGGCGATGATAATCGAGGTATGATAGAGCGACGTCAGAGCTCCAGCGAGGGATCGAAGACAGTGTAGAAGCTCGAGTCTGAATCGCCCCTTTTCCTCTCTCTGCTCTGCTTCGATGTGTCTGCGGAGACCAATCGCAACAATTAGGCGGCAAATTCTCGCCCTCGCTTCCTCGTGCGCTGGAGGAAGCTAATATTGCTCTCCACTTGCATGATCGCGAGTCGCTATATCTCGAAGCGTCTCGTCGTCCGATGTCGCCACATGCGCGTCTAATCTCGTCGAGCCAGCTGAATGGACGACGTAAATAGCAACGTTACCGGCGACGGCCCAGGCGCTACTGGCACATTTCCAATCCGATACGTTGTGTTCACACGGGCGCAACCAAATTCAATAACCACGCCTCGGAGCTCTTGTCCTTCGCCCAACGGCTTTTCATCCTGCCCCGCGAACCGCTAGAAGAACGTTGCGCCCGAGAGTCTTGATCCGAGCGAGGCCCCTCATCATTCGGCCACGTTTGACGTGCATGGACACGTGTGTGTATCGAGGTGACGGGGACTAGCGACAAATTTGGAGACCGTTCCGTCTGCCAGAGCGTCCGTGGTCGTATATGTGCTTAGAATTGATTACTGTCTGAACTCGATCCCTTCGTTGTTGCGGGAAGGCCTCGTGACTCGGCCGAGCCAAGTTTCGACCCGAACCTGTCACGGCGGAATTGCAGCTGAGTCTGTATAGAATTTGGTTCCGGGATTCTGTGGCTGCCGAGATGGGCCACGTTAATCGTCGTGAATTGTACCTACTTTGGACGGACGGACGGACACCTTCAACTTCTGGCTCCAATGTGTGATCGGTGCATGGACTAGTCCAGTAGAGTGTGTGAATACGTACCTGACGGCCGAGTGGGTGATGACTCAGTTACAGCACGATGTTCAATTCACTTGTCTAATTGTGTTCCCTGGTGGTCACAAGGGTGGAGTGAGGGGCAATTTGGAGTGACTTATGAATGAATGAGACTGAAACGCGCTTGTGAACGCGTTGTTCTGGTGTTCTACACTGACGTGATCGACTTACATTTCATAGATAAAAATAAGGCAGTATGTACCGATAAGACTCATCCAGAAAATTGGTCGATGAATTAAGGTTGAGGGGTGGAACTAAGAGCAATTGCGACAGCCTCACTTCCTCGACACGGTCCGTTGTAGAGATATACTTTCCTTCACAGAGAGAATAGCCAGCCTCGTGCATGTACACGTATCTTTCGTGTCCATGACACATTACAGATACGAGACAGTTCTCTTGAGACTTCGAGCTGTTAATGTTAAGCCCACATGTTTACAGCAGAGGATGAATGCTGCATCAACCCAGCATTTCTCGATTGCCGACGCATCGGACGGCCGAACTACGGTTGGATTCATCCGCGATGAGGCAAATACTGAAACGGTTAAGGTGTGCTTCAAGTCCTTCCTACTCGTGCCATGGATCGAATGAGATACTGATCACATTGTCGCAACCCTAAATGACCTTCTGTCTCAGGATAAGGCAGCGTTTCCTCACTCAAGCATCTGCAAGACTACAACTGTGTCCAATTAAGACTATGGCCATGTTGTCCTCTGCCATGGCTTTGCGTTATGGTTCCAGCTACAGGTGTCTTTGGTCGAAATTTCCAACAACAAAAAATGGGGATGAAGAAACCATGCAGATGACAGATAAAACTGCTGCTGCATCCTATCTTCCCATCGAGATTGCTTCAAAACCTTATGGAAAATCATGTGCCTTCATTCGGGAAATACTGTAGGCTAGTTTCATTTCAGTATCATTTACGCCGATTTCATCAAAACGTTGAGAGCATCACGAGTTTCTGATTTGTTTCGGTGTTGATGAACAAAGATTCGTTCTCTCGGCTGCTTCCATGGCCTCCTACGCTTCAATCTGTTTTCCCTCTTCACTACATTTTGCTCTTGCTTTAGAAGAGCTGTCGGCATCTTACCCTTGTGTGCTGCATAGACTTATGATTCCAACAACGACAGTAGTGCCCACTCCTATAATAACCGAGGCAAAAGAGAAGAGCCAGAATTTTGCTGGACTTCACAATCTCGATGAATTAACAATTCTGGCTGTAAGAATGGTCGGCTAAATCCAACATGTTTATATTATTACCTGTATGTTGCACATCCAGATCGACGAGAAAGCACCTCTATCACACGCAGCATACAAGTCCACGCGGTCATTCACGACCTCTTTCAGTCTAAGATCAATGTAGACAGAAATTTGAACTTCAGCAGTTTGTCTGCGTTTAGGCCTAAATCTCGTTAGTTCGTGCAAGAGATCAACTCGGAAGCAGCTTTAGGAAACCTGCATTCGAGTCTTGTAAAAGCCAATCATGTACATGAATCTGTTGCATCACAGCAGAGCATAGATGAGTTGTGACTGCTGTACAATATCTCTCTTCAGGATGCTCGCGAACGTGGAGTTGAGTGAGACCTAGGATTCATGAACGCAACTGGCCCACATTCCTGACCTCCGGACCCAAAACAACGATCTGAGTATGACTGCAAAGGCAGCTGTCAAAGTACTATTGCTTCATCTTGATCTCCCTTCCACGCACACTTCGGTATCCTGGATCACGAACGTAAAATTAAAGAATAAATTAATTTCCAGGCTACTCTCAATCAGCTGAAAACACGTTGAAACTATATTTTCTACTGTTTTCAAACCCTCACCAAACACTAAAGTGTGCAAGTGTAATGGATACGTGGTCACAAGCTAGCGTAAAACAACATCATGACATTTACATGTCTGTCAAAGTTAGATCGTCGTTCGCTCTTCATATTCCGGCATGTTATATCCAGGGTAAACGAAATTCCATGTTGGGACTGGAACATCTATTTATTCTATAATTGGCCCTTTTTCTTGGTAAGAACATGTGCATCGACATGATTTCTTAGGAGTTATGTTTTAGGCCTGTCAATAATATGGATGCACGATAGACCTTTTAGTTTGCCCTGCATCCCTTGGAATCGTGAAACCCTGCTTCATAATATACAACCAGGAGCGTGAAATCTTGTGTTGACTTCGTCATCTAAGCTTCTGCTTTTCATAGTTCATAATTCGTCGTTCCGCTAATGTCAGCTCACATGCATTACTTTTGACACTACAATTTCTTAGCGTTTGAATCACCTTCACTGATTGCTTATAGAGTTCCTGATCTAAAACTGATTTCTACATCTACAAGCTCACGAGACTAGTTTCCATTACTCGTACCCATGAAACATAATCTACTTGGGCATCCGAACCAATCCATCGACAGAAACGCAATGATTGAGGAGGTACAGCAGGTTGCGAATGGAAGAAGTGATATCTTTTCTTCAAAGTACGAGAGTGCCATACTTTGATTGCTCGGTGGTTTGCTGCACCTAAAAATGACCTAAAATATGGTCGCAGTCACCATCTCGTCCATATCCTTGCTGGTTTATAAAAGTCAACCGCGACTCAACGCCGAGTCACCGACTCTCCCTCCGATGGCAGCAGCAATAATGACACCGACACCTTCGTTCGCTCGACAAAATATCTTCTGCCTTTTTACTGAACGAACTTAATCATTCCAAACCCAAATGAAGATGAAACTGCTAAACAGGTTTAGGGAAGGAGCGAGCTCGCACATGCATATCTGTCAACGGCTGCAGCACGCAATTGTGGAGCATGAAGAGGTAGTAAGTAAGTACATGATGACTCTCAAGCACCAGAATTATTTCAAAATCGCATCAGATATCATGGAAGCTGGGCTCGCACGTGGATCGTCCCTCCACAAAAACAATATTTGTGCCATTATCGACCTGGCGAGCTGCTCACATGAACGCTCCTGCGAGCTCATCTTTCTATAACTCGCAGAAAGTTCAAAGTGAAACCGAAGAAAATTTCAATTCCTCATTCATTCACTGGAAATAAACACTCGGTATCTCGCTCACATGCACACTTATGGATATAGTTATTCGGCCAGGTCAACTGTCGGAGGTTGCACTTCCGGTGCTTCTGGCAGCCGGCTCAACTTCTGGACGAACATTCTGGCCAGCACGTTGGGGGACTTGAAGGCAGAGCTGCAAGCACCGGAGGCATGCTGTCAGATCGCTCCCATCGATTGCCATTCTGCGTTCTACGGAATTTTAGTCAATTGTCAATTATAGCTAGACTCCAACAAATCTCCTCCGATTAGCGCAATGGCGCTTCTCTCCTTTTCTTTTCCTCTTATTTTCTTTTCTTTCTCTTGGCCTGAAGGCTAACAGACCTTGAGGCGAAGCTTCAGCCGACAATCAAGCGACCCATCAGCCGACGAACTGCTGTGTCTCAAATTCCATGTGAGCATGTGAGGTCAACGACACCCCTAAATACGAATGTAGCTGCATGTGCGGGGAGTGCGAGGCTCGAACACAAGCTATGGCGGGACTGGAATTGAGACGTCGATTTCCATGCTGATCTCACGATTTATACTATAAAATTTTAGATTCAGGGACAACATCAATTTCGCCGTTCTTTCTTCCACCGTCTGTGCTTGATGCAGGTCCAAGCCTCAACCATTGCCCAGTACAAGCTTCCACAACCGGGCTTGGAATTCCCGTCATAACGAGAAATAACGTGGAGGCTACGTGAGCCAATTCCCGCAGCTCAAGATGAATCCCATGAAACAAAGTCCCATTTCCAGATTCTGGCGATTGCGGAGAGTGTTCTCGATGCCGAAAATTTTTCACAAGACTGCCACTCCTCCTTCCTCCCGCAGCCGGAGACAAGTAGGCAAAATGTTGAGCAGCAGATTCAAACGGGCATTGTCATGGAGTACCAGCAGAAGTTCCAGGTAAACCATTCTTCCGCCTTCTCCACAAGCTTCCAATTCTTGGGTCCATGCCGCCATGGTGATGTGGGCGTAATGTTCAAACGTAATTGTCTTTTGCAGCTCAGTGGATCCACCGAACTGCTTGGAATTCAGATCCGACTCTCTTGTGCCCAATTGAACTCTCATCTTCCTCAATTCCTGAGGAGCTTGTCTCGATGCGCCAAATTCATCTGTGACGGAATGCCCCACAGTCCTCAATCCAGCTCTTGCCACCGAAATCAATCCAAATGTAAAGGCTTTTGATTTCGACTCAGGCTAGCTGCCGCATTAGTGTGTGCCTTGGTATGAAATGTGCCTGGTTTCATATCTTTGACGGGCACTCTTCACTCTCCCACAAGAACGAGGGGTCGACCCCGTCTCGTGGCACACTAGACCCGTGGTAGACTTCCTCACATTCAAAGCTCGTGGCCTGATGTTCCTCACCAGCAGCCCAGCGCACGGTCTTGTCTGGCAGTGCACGTGTTTGCCATGTCCAGGACCGAGCATCTGGTTTCCACAGCTGCAATTACAATGATTTCTCACGCCCTGCATTAAGGGCACCTCACCTACAGCCCTAGCTCCCATATCATCGTCGATGCATTTACACAGCACGTAGTAACCGGAGATAGTAGAAATCGATCCTCCCTGTTTAGCGTGCAGCGTACATCCCAATATGTATCTCTTCAGTGGTCATATAAATTAAACAATTCCGCAACCTCGATTTCATGTGTTCTGGATGTTGTTTTTTATGTGTTGGATGAGATTTGGAATTTTTTGCTGGATCATGGTTTACGAAGATTAGAAGCCGGTCGTCGATGTGCTCATTCTTTTCGATTCAAGTTCGTCTTTGAAACACTCGGTTGGGACCTCGACTGTGATGGGCTCTAGTTTATAAGCCTTCTGGATACAATTTTCTCATTGAGTGTGCAGGATCCCTGGAGGTACTCGTCCATATCCTGCTACGAGTGCTATATCGGCCGACATAAGCCGAAGAAGCAGCTCCTCGTATGTAAGTTAATTAACCACTGTCATTTAGCTTCAGGTGGTTTGCATGGACCGTGCGCAAGCGCCATGATGATAAATGTTCTGCGTGCGAAAGTTGTTGATCGATACAACAGTCGATTATGACACATGAGCCGCGCTCCATGGAGTTCTGCTATCCCAGGCCTGATCAACTCTTCGTCTGCCATTCTCAGGTTGCAGACTTGACGAGTCTACCTCGCGTTAGCACCGGTACCCATCATTGCTCCAAGAGCTCGTCTACTGGGAAATATGACAAGAGTGCTCTCTCTCGAACACGAAGTCTTCCGGAATGGAAGACCCGGGGCGCCGATTTGCAAGTAACACCTTCCAGTGGACCTCTGAGGTACAATTTCTGGCCACTCTCTCCCAGGTAGTGGGAGAGAGAGAAAGATCGCTGAGAAGGCGCAATTGCTCTAAACATCGCAGGACATTCGTCGTCATCAACAAGAATATGGAGAAGGAGCTGTCTGTATATACCACTATGAGTTCATGCTGGAGAAATGGGCTAACTTGCCCCTGTCACCGAGTGCCATTCTGAGAACTTTTCCGCCAAGAATCCAGGTTGCAGACAATCAGTCCCAGCAAGCTCTCGAGCTGCCTCGAGTACAAATCTACTACGCTTGAGCGAGAGCCCTTTCTGGATGCTGTTGTTACTAGAAATGCGTCATGTTTGGCTTGCAGTAGGCCGAGAGTTGGTCGCTCTCTGGAAGCCTGAATAAGGTTTGATTTAAACTTGGCGCATATGTTTAACACGGTTTGGCAGATTTACCGTCCTAGAGGGGGATTTAAATGAACCTAGATAAAACAAGTCCTCAGAATCGCACCATTCAACTTTGTACACATTCAATTTTGAGTGTCCAGCTTTGATGTCTTCCAAAGTTAAGGCCGACGTGAGAAATCCATGACAATCATATGGATCAACATTCTGCACTTCGCTAAGCGAAAAGTCAAGCTTTGTAAGGACATGTAATTCTTGAATGATATTGTGCTTCCTTGTATGAAAACTTGCATGGACCGGTGCTGTTCACGTTGGAAAATTGCGGCATGGAGACATGTTGCGTCTCACAAATCCACTCGATGCAATTATAAGTGTTCACCTCACACTTAGTTCGTTCCACCGTCACATACACGAGACATATGCCACTTCACGTCAAGTCATGTATAAGAGATGTTTCAACGACATAAACATAAAGATGTTATATTTTCATTCACGAAGGTGAGTTATGTATCTCGTCCGTCAGCACCTATCAGTTGTATGATACTAAAGTTCAAAATTTGCCTTACTAATTGGCTCCACAACGATTGATCTAGGTTCAATTTATACTCTCCCCGTGCGATCCAATTTGCGTCATTTTGAACTCGAATATCCAGTCACTGCGATGAATGTTGAGACAAGGATTTAAATGCAACCTTCAGCCCCGTTGATCTGTTCGTTATTTTTCTGATGGGATTTCACATGCGCGTGGGATGTCTTGGCCGTTAGTGCTACATGACTTATTTTATCAAAAACTTACACTAGAAATCAAGCGAAACTTGCAGCGCCATGCAATGAGACCGCATGTTCGTTAATAGCAACGTTGTGCACAAAAGCATCAGCGTTGCTATCAACGTGCTTCAACTTAACGTGCGACCAAGAACGGTGATGCTGGTGGTACCATTTTCACCCTCTTTCTATCGAAAGAAAGAAGATGGAAATTATATAAGTTGGACACAAATCGACTGCAGATTGTGGCAAGCCAACAAGTGTCTGAGCATAATTTTCAGATTAAAAATTTATCAACCTAAATTCTTTGGACACCGAAGCTTATCTGAATGTTTACGAAGGACCTTGAGCATCAGCTCCGAACAATAAATATGTGCAAATTCAAGTTGTGGAGTGATCACATAGTGGGTATGAACAGATCCAAAAAAACTCTCTTTACACTGAGAGTTTTCAAGACATGGACGGCTGATTTTTGACATGTAAGTATTGTCATACTTACATGTCATGCGGTTTATGGTTAGCAGTGCTGTGATATATTTGAAGCCAAAATAGGAGGAAGACGCATTTTTTTGACAGTGATACAAGGAGGAGAGGCTTGTGTTTCAAGTCAGTATAGCGTCTTTTTGGATGGCAAGCATGTGGAAAGAGGGTTTGTGAGATTGATGGTTTTCATATACTGCAGTTGGTGAGACCTTGGGAAATTCTCAGGTGCCAATGGCTGCATTGGAAGGATTATATGTAACAATCGCATAGCTGTTTGTAGGCTTCAATAGGACATTTGCATGCACGGTAGTTCTTTTACCGATGTGCATCAGAGAACAAAGTGAACTACAAGAGCAGGTTGGATTCAGATCTCTAGCTTCTGTACATGAGCAACGTTCGGAAAACCGAGCAAATTAGTAGTAGTATAAGACTAGTTTTTTCACTCCGCTCACATGCGAAGGGAACAAGTGACACATTCACATCAACTCGTTTGAGCATTGCGGCATACAACTAATGTTGGAATCAGGTCCTAGATTGAAATTTGGTTCAGGGATGTTAAAGATGGAGTCTTGATAACGGTCTCATCATGTTATGGCTTCATGTTAAGGTCACAGCGTTTGGCTGGCGGTTGATTCTTAATATCTCTTGAGTGAGTCGTTGCACTCCGATCTTCATTTGCTTTCATTCATTAGAATGTTTCACACAACTGACACTTTGTTACGAAAATGTAGAGGCTACTAAGGTCTAAACGGTTCATTATTCCTCAAACTTTCTAGATGATTGATTTTGTATTTGTTTTGATCTTTAAAATTTGTTCTTAGAGTTTAAACTTACAGATCTTTCACAACAATTATCAAATATATACAAAACATTCTGCAAATTTTCGGAACAATCTTGTAATAACTTTGCAACAGTTGCTGCAATCAATATCAAATTTCACAAAAACATAAATTTCATCTAAACATGACGTTAGAGAAATTTTGTTTCAAGAACTTATTTGTATCAAATTTCATAGTGATTATATTAAAATGACAGCTAGTGCAATTTTTCAATTTACTAATGTCATATCTTGGTCATCATATTGTTTTCAAAACTAACTGACTTTAATTTTGAATGTATAAGAAAATTTAATTTATATGCTTTCTAAGGATAATCTTGGAAACTTTCAAAACCTGAGAACACTCTTGAAATCATTCAAAACACACACCTTAATGCAAATTTGACTTAGGAACAAAAAAATCTTCTAAAATTATCTCTAATTGTTCAAAATTACTTAAGCTTGTGAGATCTGATATCGTATCTCATTAAATTAAATTCTTGAAAACAAATTGCTCTTTTTTCATCCAAGAAAGGTTGGAACAACCTCAACGAATTTCAAATAAAGTTGCAAAAAAAGATCCCATTGGTTCAAAATCCTCCATTTATGGATGTAATGAGTGAATTTTGACCTTTCTTAAATTCAAAAAACACATGATTCACTTAGAGTTTACATTTTTGCTAAAGTATAGACTCAATAATATAAAATCAATAAATCGAATGTGATGAAGTATCAAAATCAAAATTTTGAATATATCATGGATAAATATTTCTTAAAAAAATTTATAAATTTAAAACTTGAAAATAATGGGTTTTGCCAAAAAAAAATAACATTGAAAAGTTAATCATTTACTGCATACAACTATTTTCTAAATCATATATTAATCAAATCCAAGAATGATCATCAAAAAATTGAATGCTTGTCACAAAAGATTAGCTAACTAATACTTTGCGATCTTGTATAGTTTTCAAGTCATAACTCAAGGTGAACTTCACTCTATCTTTTATTTATTCATCCTAGCAAATTTTTGTGATAAGATAATCAAAAAATTTGTAATAATTTCATATGATGATTAATTTTCACACTTATGATTCAAAAAAGTATGTCATGAATATATTAAAGTCATGTGAGTTAAACTTTAATGAGAGTTAGTTTGTAGGTTATAAAACAACTTCAAAAGTTTAACAGTTGAAGATGATGGACATGACATCTAAACAATCAATAAGATGATATTCAAATACAATTGAGTAGTGATTATGTATTATGTGAGAAACAAGTTAAGTGCAAGCTAAAAATCATAGCTTAAGGCAAAACGTTAAGGTGAAAATTATACACTTACGACTTGGAAAAACTTCATGAGCAATATGTGAATATTGTAATACTACATGCATGAATATGAGGATCATAATCATCTTTTTTTTTATTCTTGAGCAAAGATTTTAAATTTTTTCAAAATTTCAAACAGCTTATATATTTGCTTAAAGCCAATAAGCTTCAAAATGAAAAAAATTATGTCACAAAGATTCAAAATGTCATTGATGTGTTTGATAATCTTGTCATTGATCTTCAAAATCTTGATGTGAATATTAATTCTAAAGCAAAACTATTCATCTTTTGAATTCATTACTTTCCTTTTATCAATCACTATCATTTACGCTTTGTTGTTTCATTTAAACAAAGTTATAAAAAGCTTCATTAACTGATAATTTAGAGCAAAAAATGAAATCATTTCTTCCACACTTTTTTTCAAATATGCCATTAATGTAACTCAAGGTTGATCATATTCACGGATAACAAGGATGACACGTGTTTTGGTTTAAGAGTAGATTCAAATATAAGGATAAGTTATTAAAATAAAACAAGCTTATAAATTGAAAATTTGGCCATGGCGTATATGTTTAGAAGAATTATAAAGAATTTCAATTGATGATGATCTTTCTTTAGCTAATAAGATTCAAAAGCTTAATTCTAAGAAGATTGACTTGCTCGAAAAAGTTAGACGTATGTACTTTTGCAATTCATCAAAGAATATTGATGATGTATGTACAACATTGATCCTTATCACATATGTTACATTATAAAGTTTTTTGTACTTTTTTAATATCAAATGGTTTGGTTTTTATGCAAAACTGATTAATGGTATAGGATTGAATGTATCAATTTTGTTAAGATTCAAATATTTGATGGAGTTTAACCTATATTGATTTAAGTCAGATTTTTATTTGATATGAGAAAAAAATTGACTTCTATTGGAATGTTAGATTCAAAAAGCTTTGAATGGAGTTCTTAAGAATGTATGTTTGAGGTGAGATTATGTTAAATTATAATGTTAAATGCTAACAAGCACAGCAATACATACATGACAGAGAGCATCACCATATTTGATTAAGTCAACTTTACTAAATTTCAAGTTGAAATGATTCATGTATAGCATTCTAGTCTATTACATTTTTTGGCAATATGAGTTTATTACTTGTGATAGTAACAATTGACTTAGAATTTGTGTATTGTGTAAGATCTAAACGTATTAGTCAAGATTTTGATGTTGAAGATCAAGGTTTGAAGTAGTTTTTTGAGTTTCAAGTACTAATTTGAATATATACATAGTAACATGTGGAGATTATCTCATAATCTATATTGTGTAAAATTTATTGATGAATACTCAAAAATTATATGAACTTATATTCTCACACAAAATTTTGAAATCTTAATAACTTTTAAAGGTTGAAAAGTCCAAATTGAAATTTGGTCTAGACAAAAGATATCATTTCAAAGAATTTAAAAGTGATTGCAAATAGTCATACAGGTTCATGATCCGCAACACAATATTTCTGAAAAAAATGCACAGAATGTCATATCAATCTGATTTATCAAATAAATTTTAAATTGAAATCGTAAATAACACCATCATTTCTTAGATTTATTTATTTATTTATTCATAGAGGCTTTTGATAGACAATAACTTCTCCCAAAGACAGCTTACAATTTTTATCGTACTATGTTGTTCAAAGAACTACGTAACTCAAAAGGCGTCGAATTGAAGAATGATAGAAACTTTTGTAATTTGAAATATCTAACTACACAAGAATTTTAAATTTTAAATTTTTGTGTATTTTTTTCACCTAACTAATTAGTCTTAGTATTGAGTTGTTATAACCTTGAGAAATTTTTTACCAATAACAACAAAAGATTTC